TAGGTTTGATATTTTTGCGACCTACGATTGTCGATCAGGAGCTGGTCATGAGGTATTCATCGGTTCTCGTTACTCCATGTTTACAACACGAGGCACGACGCACGATTAAGACAAAACACGGCCCGATCCTAAAAACAATCACACGAGTGAAAAAGCCACAGATCCAAACACAGATTATATTCTTTTTACAGACAATCGGTTTGAGTCTGTGAATTGAGGTGTGAATGATCGACATTTACACATATAATTAATTACCGCTTTGTGCAACATTTACGGCTTAAGGCTAATAGCAGTAGTTTCTTTACTAGTTAGTAGTGATGGGTCGGTTGTGAACGACGGGAGCCGGCTCCTTATTGGGAGCCGTGTTTTCTCTTTCTCTCACTTTTTTTTCTCTTCACGCCGCGTGCAGACTCGTGGGAGTTTGACAGTGGCAGCGGCTCAAAACGAAACTGTCACAAATCTGCGTGTGTGCATAGGATAAAAAAGTGCATATTTGTCTGTAGTTCAGCATAAAATAAATAAACCAGGACTAATCTTGGGCTCGAGAGACGGAGAGAGACAGAGACCGAGTCCCGACACTCAGTCCTGGTTCAGTTCTGCTTTAGACCTGCTTTAGTTCTGCTTGCAACAAAACAACCTAAAGAGCCGCTTGGGAGCCGAAAGAGCCAGCTGCTTTTAGTGAACCGAGCCAAAAGAGCCGGTTCTGTAAAAAGAACTGGAATCCCCATCACTAGTGTCTAGAATGTGATGCAAAAATGTCATTAGTCCGACTGTCTGTAAATATGACGTAAAGACGCAGAATAAAAATAAATGTTTCCTAAATAAACCCAATTTAAAATCCACTAGAGCCAAACTGAAGTTTTTTAAACAAATCAAGATTTACAGTGAATTTTTACATCACTAAATATATTGGCAATTATATCGGCAGCTCCAACTCCCATTTTATTGGTGTCATATCGGCCACAACAAAACACATGTCAGTCGGGCCCTAATCGAGGTGTGTATCGTATCGTGGCCTGTGTATCGAGGTGTGTATCGTATCAGCAACTTCTTAATAATACCCAACCCGACAAGGCGACATACCACCTCCAGAAAGTTACACACTGAACCTTTAATGCGAGTTGTTCAATGTGAAATGCTCCAGTTTAAAATGCGTCTGCGCAGCCGTTCTGAAGCTTTAATGAAACACATTGGGGAAAGCAGCAGAATCTTCCACGGCACATTCTGAGAATTCCACACCCATGGGGTCACGGCCTGGCGACAGAAGACTGTTTTAGACCTCACCAAACATGGCGCCGTGAAGATCATGTTATTTTGATGCTTCTCGAGAGAGAGAGAGAGAACAAAACTCTACGGCTGTTCCAGAAGATACTACAATAGTGTTCTTCAAAATGTCGGCCTCTGGAGGAGTGTGTGTGCGCGCTGAGAATCTGTGTGCGGCTCATGTTTAGTTCTGATAAAGTCCAGGTTTAGATCTGCAGGAACTCGGGTTCTTATCGTAAAGTGAAGCCAAGTGTAAGATTTAGATTTTCAACTCCAGGAACAAGAGTCACGACCCCAGAAACAGGAACAAATCAAATAAAGCTCTTAACAAATCTGTAAAGCGCATTACACGTGCGACGCATTACCAGGAATTACTTTTCACGGCTCATTGATTCTTTAAAGAACAGTCTGGAATTTTGGACATAGGAGCTCATTTCCTCGTGATCCTCGTGAGTGTTGGAGACGTGTGGAGACACTTTTTTAAATCTTCCATCCAGTCGTTGTATTTGCAGAGGTCACTGGTGTTAGACTAGTGCAGGTCAATGGTCATAGTTTATCCTGCCGCTAAAAACAGTTTTACCCACTCCACAAAACACCCGAAGAAAATCTATTATTACACCAGACTGTCCATGTGAACGTCTGTCGATAGAATAATGTTTGAAATAGTGTTGGGGGGTAATACAGTATTAGTTTCCCGCGGCGTCAAAAAGCTTCAGCGGTATCAGTTTCATTACAGTCAAAAATCTGCAGCACATAAGGACCTAATAAAATACTGTAATTTATTGATACCTACATTTGTTTGCTCTGCACAAGTGAATGTGTGTTTGTATTTTCAGTTTAATTCTATCACGATTTAAAACTAATAGTGTCTATAATGTTTCTTTAACTGTGCGGGGAGACGACGTTTGATTAGTTTTGTTCCGTTGATACGTGATACGTGACGTTCATAAGAGACCGAGACAAACGGCAAGTAGCTTCAGGACACATTTGTTTATGTTTTACAGAAACAAAACTTAAAACCACATGACTCATTTGCATAAACTATAAGCGCTGATAAAAACTGTTCTTTCCTTGTGTCGTTGATGTGGTTCATCTTCCTGTGGCCAGATCGGTTTGTCAAAGCCTGATCCCGTCAGATCTCAGGAGCTCAGCGGGGTCGGGTCTGGTCAGTATTTGGATATGAGACCAGAGGGAAAATCAGGAGCCACAGGAGGCGCCAGTCGCAAAAACTGTTGTTGTGTCCTTAGGCAAGACACTTCACCCACATTGCCTAGTATGAAAGTGGTGTGTGTGTGAGTGATGGCGGTGATTGGCTTGGCAGCCTTGCATCCGTCAGTCTGCCCCAGGCAGTGTTGGGGAGTAACAGATTACATGTACTGGAGTTACATAATCAGAGTACAAATGATGAGTAACTGTATTCAGTTACAGTTACTGTTTCAGTGAGTGGTAAATGGATTACAGTTACTTTGTTGAAATAAATGGATTACACGGCGGTATTTTCCTTTTTTCACATTTTGGGCTATATTCCCTTTTTTTTTTTTTTTTTTTTCTCGGTAATTCCACTCATTGCTGGAAACGAAACAAGGTCTAAACTAGATCTAAACCAGGTCTAAATCAGGACTAAAACTGGACTAAAACAGGATTTAACAGGACTAAATCATGCTGCATGGACCGTGTCTCTTCGTCTTCTATCAATAATATTTTTAATTTGGTTCAATAAAGTCTGGACTTTTTATTTTCTTTTAGCAAACAAAAATTCTTATGTGAAGATTTCCTCGTCTTTGTTTCTCTACAGCAAATCAAGTAATCCAAAGTATTCAGATTACATTACACACTTTAAGTAATTTAATGGATTATGTTATAAACTACATTTTGGTGTGTGTAATCTGTAATCTGTAGGGGATTACATTTTAAAAGTCACCTTCCCAACACTGGCCCCAGGGCAGCTGTAGCTACAATAGTAGTTTACCATCACAGGGTGTGGAGAAAAAGAATAATGAATCTATAAAATGTTCTGTAAAGCGTCTTTGTGACATATGTCTGTGAAAAGCGTTATATAATTAAAGATTTACTTACTGTCAGACTGAAGGACACGACTGAGTGGAACATGAGTTGCACTGTTGCACCCAGCGTGACCCCGTGTCCTAATTGAGATTCACAGTCAGATAAAACTCTCTCTTGCATCACTTCCTCCGAGGAACAGACAGGTGTCGTCTTTGACCTGAATTTAACGCAAAAAAAAAAAGTAAAACTGCAACAAATACAAAGAAGTATTTAGTAGGCAGTAAAATAAATGGTGTACATTAAAGTTACTGGTTAACATTCATTTACAACATAAAAACTCAAAGGGCTGGAAATGAGGAGAACAACAAAACACACGTGGACTGATTGACATTTATTGTGTTTATTAGTTGTTTTCCTTCTGCCCACCTGCTGGATAAATATATTATCAAAATCACAACTAGCGCCCTGTAGCAGGCTGGATGAACACAATATATAACAGTTTGAATACATGCGTGTTCTTCTGTGACAGAGGATGTGCTGATGATGGTGACTCTGTTCTGTGTGTGTCGCGTTGGAGATGGTTCGTGTGAAACTTTTCAGAGATTATAAATCTGCAGGTCCCAGATACAGACCAAAGTCGTACTAAAACATTTTGGTAATGGGTCCGGTCAAGCAGAAGTAAACAGCAAAGCTAAAAATTCAAGTTAATTCATCTGATATAAAAGTGTATTGAACAGATACATATGTACTCTAGTTTATCAAACTGTTGACCTTTTTTCTGTACCATTTTTGGTTCTAAAGTTCCATCCGTTTTAAACAGACCATGTATGAAACATGGAACAAAAAATATTTCCCAAATTTCACAGACCTGCAAATCATGTAAATAAATGGATGTATTTCATCATATCTTGTGTTATTCCATCTTTGAACTGTTGATGAAGGGACAGGATTTTTAAAAAAAATGTATTTAAAATGATAAAAATTTGCTTGGAAGGACTGACATATTTTATAGAAATAGTTTCCTTTCATTTTGAAGAAATATTAAAGTGTTTAGAAGAAAAAAATGACAAATGATGTAAAATCCTGCACCTTCTACTTGTTTGTACAATTTTCCCTCCGTTACTTTTCCCTCCGTTACCATGACCTTTCTTAATAAAAAATCTCATGAGTCAAAAAGTCAGAGGTTTTTCAACCTAATCTTGTACCATATGGTAGAAAACTATATGAAGCAAATATTCAAACCAGTTTGTTAAGGATATGTAAGTGAGAACCAAGAGTTATCACTGTTTGGATTTATTGACCAAAAAGTGCTGCATATTTCATTCCCTCCGTTACCGACATGAGTTTTTACATTTTTTTGTCTTGAACTTGAAAGAATATCACAGGTTTAACTTGACCCTGTTGGAGTGTAACTCTTTCCTACATTCTGATACTTTACTTATTTCAATAGTTCCTCTAGTTTCTGAATAAGAGACATTTGAATGTCAAAAATCTGACCCTGTTTCCCTCCGTTAACACTTGACTGGACCCTAATACGGTAATACCATATGCCCTGGTAAAATGCTGAGGTTTAATAGTATTAAAATTTGGATACCACCCAAGTTAGTTTGAAATAAATCTAACCTTGCATCGCATGATTCGTCGCGTGTTGAGGGACTATTTTAGGTTACACTGTACGTTTAAGATGTAGTGAAGTAAACGTCCTGACTCGTGCTCGTGCTTCTGTCCGTCAGTCCTGCCGCACATCGTGGACTGTTTCTCGGCGAACATGGAGACGCTTCGGTGCCGCTGGAGCAGTGGGACCTTCCACAACCTGTCTGAACCCGGGGCCCTCAGACTCTTCTACCTCAACAAGTGAGCACACACACACACACACACACACACACACACACATACACACACACACACACACACACACACACACACACACACACACACACACACACACACACACACACACACACACACACACACACACACACACACACACACACACACACACACACACATACACACACATACACACACATACACACACGCACACACACACACACACACATTACGTTCTCTCCACCTACAGTATGTCTGACTCTGAGCTTGTCGTTTTGTTTCTTCAGGCCGTCAGTGGTGGACTGGATCGAGTGTCCGGCGTACAGCACCAAACGGCCGGACGAGTGTTTCTTCAGTGAGGAGCACACCACAGTCTGGTACAACTACAGGGTCCAGCTCCGCTCCAGAGACCAGAACACGATCTACGACGAGCTCGTGTTCACCGTTTACGAGAAAGGTCAGGGATTCTCTTTAGGTCTGATGCACCAGCGCTTTTGTTACACTAAACACACCACAGTCCTGCACCGGGTCGGGTATCCGTGATGGTACCAGGACTGAATCGGGTTTAATGTTCCTGGAACCAGGCCAGGACTGAGACCGGGACTGAGACCGGGAACAGGTCCAGGACTGAGACCGGGACTGAGACCGGGAAACAGGTCCAGGACTGAGGCTAGGACTGAGACCAGAACCAGACCAGGAACAGGACCGGGACTGAGACCGGGACTGAGACCGGGACTGAGGCCGGGACTGAGACCGGACTGAGACTGAGGCCGGACTGAGACCAGGACTGAGACCAGAACCAGACCGGGATCAGGCCGGGACCAGACCAGAACTGAGACCAGGACTCAGACCAGGACAAGACCGGGACCAGACCAGGACTGAGACCGGGACCAGACCAGGAATGAGACCGAGGACTGAGACCAGGACCAGACTGGGAATGAGACCGGGACCAGACGGGGACTAAGACTGGGACTGAGACCGGGAACAGGACCAGGACTGGGACTGAGACCAGACCGGAACTGAGACCAGACCAGACTGGGACTGAGACCAGACCGGAACTGAGACCAGGACTGAGACCAGGAATGAGACCGGGACCAGACCAGGACTGAGAATGGATTAGTCCTGGTTCAGTTCATGATCCGTTTTTTCCATTTTTCATTTAAACACAAAATCGAAAACTGAAAAAACGAATCATTATCTGTTTTTTCATTTTGGTTTTGGAGACAAATAATGAAGAAAACTGTTATATTTAAATTGTCTTATTTTTGGTTTTATTTTAAAAAATGAACGACACACAGATTTAACATTTATTTAACAGTATCAAATGAAGTGAATCACGCTCGCTCCTGTGTCCTCTCCTGCAGTGCGTCCGGACCCGCCGCACAAACTGAGCTGGCAGGTCCTGAACAGAAGCGTGTCGGGGCAGTACTACGACACCGAGGTCAGGTGGAGCCCCCCGGAGTCTGCGGACGTCCAGTCGGGCTGGATGAAGCTGCAGTACCAGCTCCAGCACCGAGACGCGAGCTCCAGCGAGTGGAAGACCGTGAGTGTCCCAGACCCGACTGTGGCATGTTTAGGTCTGTCACGATAACACAGCAAAGAGAATACTGAAAACAAACCCCAAAAACTAATCCAAATGTACAATATTATTTAAAAAATTGACACTTTATTAATTAGAATGCATCGTTTGATAGTTTTAGTTCATAATTCAACCTTCAACTGCTCAAATTTGATCATTACGGAAGCCCTGAGAGACAAGAGGGGGAAAAAGAAAAAAAAAAGGAATTTTCTTTTTTGTTTTTGTTTTTTTTTTTAGAAAAAAGAGGCAGGTCATTTGGGCTGTAGTTTGCATTTTGTTTTTTTGTTTGATGGGAAAAAAGGCTCCTGAGTAAAAAAAGCTCATAAAATATGGATGTGGAGTAAGTAGGTAATTGGCATTTAGCTGTTGCAAATCTGCAACTCCTGCCTGGAGAGGGTTAATATATAAGTCGCACCAGAGAATAAGTCACAGAAAACACCCAAACCATGAAAAAATGTGCCACTTATAGTCTGAAAAATACGGTACTCTTACTTAATTTCTTGGACTATTACTTTGTTCTTCTATGTGATGTTTCTCTTACATGAGTGCAAATTTTGGCTGCTGTTCCACTTCTGATAAACACTCGACTCGCTCTTACGGTCGCCACAAAGTCTCGACAAAGAACAATACAATAAACAATAACCACTTGAGTAAAATGTCTCGTGTGTTGAAGCTCCTCCAGTGTGCGAGTGTGTGCGTGTGTGTGGCTGTGTGCGTGTGCTGTATTGACCCTGAGTGTGCCGTGTCCCCCTCAGAGGGACCTGGTGGACGGCACTCACTGCTCTGTGTTCGGGCTCCTCACGGGCGTCCAGTACGAGGTGCGTCTGCGCTGTAAGATGTCTGGGATGACGGAGTTCGGAGACTTCAGCGAGTCTATCTACATCTACACCCCGGCCACAGGTGAGACATGCCAAACTCGATCTCAGTACGATGAAGTCTACACTAGGGAGCATCTGAATGGAGTTGTTGTAATACTTAAAGCTGCTCTGTGTAATTTTTCTGGTGGAGAACTGTAAAATCTAATAAGTAGAGCTTACTGAAAAAAAATGTAGGAAACCGATTGCCTTGAAAATCTGACTAAAATGGACTGTGCAAAGTCAAGTCAAGTCATTTTATTTATATAACACATTTAAAACAACCGTAACAAGATGCACCAAAGTGTTTTACAGCATGAGACACGACGCAGTCAAACAATACACGCATCAAGAATCTCGGATTTCCGGTCTTTGCGCAATTCACACTGGGGAGGATTTTCCGAAAAAGTGAGCATCAAACCTCCATGTTTGTTTTCCCAGTGGGACGTGTCTATTGACAAAGTCGATCTTTTCAAGTCTTTTGAACCATATCACTTTTGTTTCTGGTTCTGATTTTGTCATATTTTAGTTTTGGGATTCGGACATTGTAATTGTGCAAACTCCATAAATGCAAAAGTGAATCAGATGTGTGTGACTCAAACCTCTGTTCAAACTGTTTCTCTTCCCAACGGAATTGAAAAATAGTGAAAGGTGAAGGTGATGGGCAGGATTGATCCACAGGAAGAACCAAAAAGGAAACATTTGTCTGTCTAAGAAATCATCCCGAGTTTACAGAAAAACATTTTGTATGTGGAGCGACAACAAAACAAAACCCTGATCCTTCGTTCAACCTCGGTTACGAATTTAAAAAGTCGACGCCAAAGTGAAAGTCTCCAACTGTTCACCAAGAAACACCTTCCACTGCAAAGAGACCAAGACGTGATGTTTCTGTAAAACCACAAGAACAAGAAAGTGCAGCTCAGTCTGTTTGTCTTCTGCTCCTCTACATTAACAAACGGGATTTTGCTTTGTTGTCGCTCCACATACAAAATGTTCTCTGCAAACACGGGATGATTTCTTAGTCAGTCAAATGTTTCCTTTTTCTTTCTTCCTGTGGATCAATCCTGCCCATCACCTTCACCTTTCACTATTTTTCAATTCCGTTGGGAAGAGAAACAGTTTGAACAGAGGTTTGAGTCACACACATCTGATTCACTTTTGCATTTATGGAGTTTGCACAATGACGATGTCCGAATCCCAAAACTAAAATATGACAAAATCAGAACCAGAAACAAAAGTGATATGGTTCAAAAGACTTGAAAAGATCGACTTTGTCAATAGACACATCCCACTGGGAAAACAAACATGGAGGTTTGATGTTCACTTTTTCAGAAAATCCTTCCCAGTGTGAATTGCGCGATGACCGGAAGTCTGAGATTCTTGATACGTGTATAACACAAATTTTAAATATTGCATAAAAGAAGCCATGCCAGACACAAGTTTGGTTGGAGACAGCATTGTTATTGTCGAATCTGCAAATACAAATGATAAAATATCTTGGCGTACATGTGCCTGATGTGGCCTGAGGGTGGCGCAAAAATTTAAACACCAGTGTAAACGAGTGATCCCACGGAGAAGCGGAACACCGGCTCACTCATGAGGCTGTGGACAGCGTAGACCACGAGGGTTTGCAAGCAGACGGCTTTCGAGTTTATTTAGGCGCAAACCGTCTGCCCGATCGTCTGAAGGGCAGTTCCAAAACAGAAACCCAGATCCCACTTCATCAACTTCACTGACAACTTCATGTCAGTGAAGTTGATGAAGTGGGATCTGCAGACCGAGCTGAGTCTGCTGTTTAAATGACGGGTCCTGTCGAGTCGATCAGCACCTTCTAGATGAGTGATTTTTTTGCTGTCGTTATCTGGTTTTAAGTTGGACCGTCCTTTTCTTTGCTCCTAAAACCGATACATATCTGATCTTTTGACATGTGACTTCAGTGTGAACAGTCAAAGTGCATTCATCCACCTACACGTTATCAACAAGACACAAACGTCACTATTCTGCGCTGAAGTAGGAGAAACTTGTTAATGAACTGAAGTGTCACTGAAGTGAAGCACATCACCACTCACCACTCTTGGCTCCGTCTCCACATCCACACGTTACTTTCAATGGACGTTGCTGCCGCTGTCCTACAAAACACCACGACCAAAAACCTCGTCCTTCTCCTTCTCAATCTCCTCCTTAAAACAAATAAGTTGTTCATGTTCTGGCTCCGGTACGAGAGGAACTTTAAAATCTCCAGGTGCTCGATGCTGCGTCCATGTTTGGACAACTTCTGTAAACACAGAGACGCTCGCTGTGGTTGACGTCGTCGTGTCTCCAGTGTCACATGTGGGACACTTTTGGGCCGTTTAATGTTCACACTGGAGTCACATACAAGTCACATTTAATTGGAAATGTGAACGACCTCGAAAAAACATCAGATTTCACAAAAAAATCGGAATTGAGCGTTAAGCCCTGCAGTCTGAACGTAGACTAAGTCTCTTAAATTCCATCCAAACGGTGTCCAAAAAGCTCTGGCAGAAAAATCAGTTTTTCTCAAATAACTTTAAAAATAATCCATTTAAGGCTGTGGTGTCAATGAAAGTTTAATTTAAATTTTGCTGTTCCACATCTTTTGGTACCAGTTTTATAATCTCCATCTTCTTAAGTTTCTAAGAGATGTAAATTTTGTCAACACAAAAATCAGAATTGATCATTAAACCCTGCAGTCTGAACGTAGCCTAAATGACAAATAATGTGCTTTTATGTGCTTTGCTCTGAAAGTTTCTGTTACTTCACCACAATCAATAAGACCGACAAACTCGTAGCTGTGAGTAAAGTAAACGAGCTGAATGCAAGTGAGCCCTGGTGTTAGATTTAACAGTGTGGGTCTGAACCTGCTTCACATATGTCCACAGTAAAGCATTAAAACTTGTCTATCTCCATGGAGACCGGTAAGAATTTTCACCGGGGCAAATTACAGGTCAGGTCTGTGGAGAGATGTTAAGAGCAATTAAAAACACCTCAGAGATAGATAAGTTAGATCCGACTGAATGCCGAGGACAAACAATAACGTCTTAATATAGACACGCTTATGCACCAGAAAAGTTACACAGCCCCCCTTATAACATGACATTAAAATATTATAAAACTATAATCATAATTATTTACATGCATGTCGTTCATCAGTGGACTTGTCAAGTTTCTATTGAATCTTAAGTCTTGAGGTTTTGTGGTGTTTTTGTTTCGCTCAGTCTCCCGTTTCCCGGTGGCGGCTCTGCTCGTGTTCGGGGCCCTGTGCCTCGTCGCCGTCCTCATAATGGTCTTCATCTCTCAGCAGGAAAAGTAAGAGCACGCCGCTAAACTAAACACTTCCAGGAGTTCAGATCACACAAATTCACAAGTTTTCACAATATTTTTCGTGTTCTCATTTATAGTTTTCATTTAATTAACTGTACTTTTTGTAACTATGGTATTGCTTTGCCAGGAATGTGTATTATTATTAGTTTTTTGTTTTTTTTTTTACATTTCCAGTCCTCATAAATATTCTTATTTTAAGTGATATATCTCTTTTTGTTATTTGTTTAAACAGGCTGATGGTTTTGCTGTTACCTCCTATTCCTGGTCCCAAAATTCGAGGGATTGACCCAGAATTGCTTAAGGTATTTGTCTATGAAATGGTGATGGTTTGTGATGTTACAAACACTACAGCCAACGTTATTATTGTAACTGGAGTCGACGGTTTGTGTCATTTATGTGCAGTGTTTGGAGTAACATGTTATAAAAGTAATGAATTACTGTGCTGCGTTGCTTTTTGCTGTAACGCAGTAATGTTCGGCATTACAGGGAAAAACTGTATAGTACATATGAGTCAATAACGCGCGTCACGATGCATTTTAACCTGGATTGAAGTGGTGGGTTTTTCGTTTTTCTTCATACAAATTTTCTAAAATCACCGTGATATCAGCAGCGGTGAAACGCCATCGTTACGGTTCTGAGTAACAGGACGGCCCGGAGATGCGCCCGCGTAGACCGTCGGGTGACTGCGGGCAAAAGGACCGACACAGAACTCCATGGTCCACGGGCTCAGGGTTCACTCAGGAACTAGAATTCAAGTCCTAGTCCAAGATTAGTCCTGGTTTAGTCCTGGTTCAGTCCTTGGTTCAGTCCTGGTTCAAACCCAGTTCAGCGCTGGTTTAGACCTGGTTTAGTCCTGGTTTGGTCCCGGTTCGGTCATGGTTTGGTCCTGGTTCAATCGTGGTTCAGTCCTGGTTTAGTCCTGGTTCAGTCCTTGGTTCAGTCCTGGGTTAGTCCTGGGTTAGTCTTGGTTCAGTCCTGGTTCAGTCCTGGTTTAGTCCTGGTTTGGTCCTGGTTCAGTCCTGGTTCAGTCCTGGTTTAGTCCTGGTTTAGTCCTGGTTTAGTCCTGGTTCAGTCCTCGGTTCAGTCCTGGTTCAGTCCTCGGTTCAGTCCTGGTTCAGTCCTGGTTTAGTCCTGGTTTAGTCCTGGTTTAGTCCTGGTTCAGTCCTCAGCTTAGTCCTGGTTCAGTCCTCGGTTCAGTCCTGGTTTAGTCCTGGTTTAGTCCTGGTTCAGTCCTCGGTTCAGTCCTGGTTTAGTCCTGGTTTAGTCCTGGTTTAGTCCTGGTTCAGTCCTCGGTTCAGTCCTCGGTTCAGTCCTGGTTTAGTCCTGGTTTACTCCTGGTTCAGTCCTGGTTTAGTCCTGGTTTAGTCCTGGTTTAGTCCTGGTTTAGTCCTGGTTTAGTCCTGGTTCAGTCCTCGGTTCAGTCCTGGTTTAGTCCTGGTTTAGTCCTGGTTTAGTCCTGGTTCAGTCCTCGGTTCAGTCCTGGTTTAGTCCTGGTTTAGTCCTGGTTTAGTCCTCCTGGTTCAGTCCTCGGTTCAGTCCTGGTTCAGTCCTGGTTCAGTCCTTGGTTCAGTCCTCAATTCAGTCCTGATTTAGTCCTGGCTTAGTCCTGGTTTAGTCCATATACGGCGCAAAAGTTCGGCATTTTCACTCGTTGATTTTTATTTGACGATGAGTGACAGTTATTTTGGTGAGAGTAAATAAATAAACACAGTAATATTGTAATGTAACGAACAGAAACATGTCATAAATAAATAACACATTACAGTTTTGAAATAACTTGCCCAACAGTGTTTACCAGGAACACTTCGATATATCGTGGATTTGAACTGACTACTTTCCAGTTTCTAGACAAAATGCTTAACCCTCTACACCTTTGCCCCCCTGTACGTTTTCCTTTCAGAAGGGGAAGCTGCGCGAGTTGCCGTCCATCTTGGGCACGTCCGAGCTGAGGCCGGAGCTGTACAGCGTTGACCCCTGGGTGGAGTTCATCGAGCTCGACATGGAGGAGACGGCTGACCCCCTGACCCACTGCCTGCTACCGGGCTCTCCATGTCAACACCGCTCCCCCGACTCGCCGGGTAGGTCCCTCTGTGCCCCCGACTAACCCCTGAGAGAGTCCAGAGTCCAATTTTACGCAACATATTTTTGTTGTTTTCAAAAAGTTAAAGGGACAGTTTGTAATTTTGGATGTAGGACCTAATTTCCTGAGTGTTGGAGACACTTTTTTAAATATTCCATCCAGTCCTTGTATTTGCAGAGGTCACTGGTGTTAGACTAGTGCATGTCAATGGTCATAGTTATTCACTAAAAGTCACTAAAAACAGTTTTACCGACTCAACAAAACACCCGAAGAAAATCAATTATTACACCAGACTGTCCATGTGAAAGTAAAGACTGGTTGTAAAAACAACGGGGAAAATCATTGGGACGACTCTTCCAGAGATTAGTACATCTACACCACCCTCTGTCTGAAGAGAGTGCGAGACCAACACCATCCTGCCCACCACCTGTTCCACCTGTTCACCTCAGGAAGAAGGTACAGGTCCATATGGCCCATAATCTGGACCCTCAGAACATCTAGACTGACCCACAGTCTGGGCCCCCCGCAGTAAACCACATCCAACCCCCACAATAACTGTGAACTGGACTTTCGCTGCAACAGAACATTTAAATACATTTAAATATATTTAAATACACATCTGTCTGGAATGTCCCTCGTCCCTGATGTCTCAGTTCTTTTGGTTGTTTTGTTGTGATTTGTTGATGTGCCTCTTTGCTGCTGCACTAGTTCTGTATTCTAATGTTCACATAGTGGCTGTAATGTTTACGTGGTGGTGTCATAGGGGTGGCTGCTCTATTATGCACTTTTTAAATATTATGTATGATGCTCTAATGCAGGGCTGTCAAACTCATTTTGTTCCGGGGGTCGTATCCAACCGACTTTGATCCCAAAGTGTCCGGATCAGAAAACTCATGTCATATAAACCCCAAAAATAACAATAAGTTCAAATATTTGTGCAGAGAAACACAAATCTATTACAGAAATCTTTTTTAATTGATGAACTCTTTCTTTTTCAAAATATTATAATATTATGAACAACCTGAAACTTTAAGAAAAATACAATTTCATCACAATGTTTTAACAGTAACTTATATGTAAATAGGAATAAGTAAATTTTTGTTGTAAAATCCTGCACTCGGCTCCACTTTTCTCATGTTGGACATTTTTCTGATGAGGGTGTCACGGTCGACAGTCAAAACGATCGTCCTTTAAGAGCGTTTGGAAAGAGACAAGTCTTCATTTGTGCTGCTCTGGTGGGAGGGGCCACGTACAGAGACGCTGGAGACGCTGCTGTGATAAACACCACAGAAAATTAACAAGATTTTAATAGAAAATATGATTAAATATTTTTGTAGAAAATCAGCCGAGGGCCAGATTAAAGGACTTGGAGGGCCGGATCTGGCCCCTGGGCCGTATGTTTGACACCTGTGCTCCAATGGAATTTTGTTGTTATTTTATAATGACAATGACAATAAAGGAATTGAATTGAAGCTGGTACTCATTCTTTTGTATTCCCAGGCTTCCGTGATGATGATTCCGGCCGGGCCAGCTGCTGCGACCCGGACCTCCACAGCGACAATGAGGGCTCACCTTTCCACCCAACCTGCCAAGAGGAACCACCCAGCCCTCCACCGGCCAGCCCCATCCCTCCACCGGCCAGCCCCATCCCTCCACCATCCACCGCCGACCCTCCGCCACCCCCCACCCCGCAGCAGGCCATGTACACCCAGGTGAGCGAGGTCAGGCTCTCGGGGAACGTGGTGCTGTCCCCCGAGGAGGAGCAGCTCTCCCCGGAGGAACCCCGCTCAAAGCACAAACCCGAGCTCAGCACCGCCGGTTACACGTCGGAACTCAACGCGGGGAAACCCAACACGGACGTGGAGACGGGTCAGGAGTCGGCGCCGGCGGCTGTTTCGCTGCCGCCGGCTCCCGCGTACACGGTGGTGGAGGGGGTGGACAGACACAACAGCCTCCTCCTCACCCCACACCTGCTCAGCTCCAAGGCCACGCCCGAGGGATACCTGACCCCAGACCTGTTTGGAGGAGTGTCATCGTAGAATCCTCCTCGGATATAAAGCGCTCACCCGTGATTATGAGGTAATAAAGGGAACTTAAAGAGCGTGTGGACGGACAGTTTGGAGCTATGCAAAATTAGAAGATTAAGGATTATGTCCCTCCTCTGAACACAATTCAACATCCACTGTGCTTTTTGTTGTCTGTTGTACAACATTTAATACTCATTTAATTTCAGAAGCACCCAGATTTAGATTCAGAAATGTTTTGGGGGTGTAATTACCATATTTTCTGCACTATAGGGCGCACTTAAAAGCCTTTTATTTCATCAAAAAACGAGTGCGCGCCTTAAAATCCAGACGCCTTATATATGAATTTATTGGGGTGTCGTGGCGTAGACTTGTGGGCAGAGCTTTGTACAGAATCTTACAGCTCAGGAGAGATCGCTAGATTACTCAAACATGCATGGATGTTTGAATAATCTAAACCTCTTTCCAAGAAGAATACACAAACAAAAATGAATTGCATCACTTTTTTCACTTACAGCAATTACCGTATTTTCCGCACTATAGGGCGCATTTAAAAGCCTTTTATTTCATCAAAAAACAACTGTACGCCTTATAATCCAGAGCTCCTTATATATGAATTTATTGTGGTGTGTTAGTATGACTTTAGTAAACTACAAAGCCGCTCCACTTGCAGCGTTACGGCTCCCGTAGTCAGGAGCATCAGGAGTAAAACAGACTGTGATTCCTTTTAATATCAAAATGCACCTGTCAAGAGACACGCTCACAACGCCCACTTTAAACTCAAGGCTGTTCTAAAGTGAAAGTGCGTTTAGCCGCGTGGGAGCAGTGGATGAGAGAAGGAGAACACATATTCACCAAGACAGAGAGACAGCGCCGAGCGACTTACGCCACGATCTGCCGACGGATCGTGGACGCCCGGGCTCAGGATCAGTATCAACTGTGGTCCGAGCTTTCACCAAGACCAGAATCATCACTGAACTGAACTCCAGGGAACAGTAACCACACTGACTCGGATCATGACGAGAGGGATGTGGACGTGTGGACGCCGGAATCACCCAACTGTTTGAACTATTATGAATTATTGTGAATACGACAACAATTTAGCGTCTCAGACAGAATTTTTTTTACACGTTACAACTGAACAAAGTTGAGAGTTATTGTGAACGCGTTAAAGTTTGACTGACTTATCCAACTGTTGCGTTTCGTTTAATGCGCCTTATAGTCCGGTGCGGTTTATATGTGAAAAAATTTCAAAAATAGACCATTCAGTGACAGTGCGCCTTATAATCCAGAGCCCCTGTAGTGCAGAAAATACGGTACTTCATAGTAGGACAAGCTTCTCTTTCTGTTGCCACTTTTTTTTTTACTTTCTGAAATGACTGATTCCATAGTTTACTAATACATCCACTATGCTCCTTTTAAAATGCATAGAAGTGTTACGGTTTTCACGTTTACTTAAGTTACAGGATCGGATATCAAAGGGAGGATTTGCAGTCTGTGTTCTTACGGTTTTAACAAAGCCGCTATAATCACGTCTAAACCTGTGTCGCCAGAGCCTTAACCTGCAGACAGAGACACGTCCAAGTTTGTCTCAGTCTCAGTTTATGTTCAGGACTCATGTGAAACTCCAGAATTCCCTCCCTGAGCTGAACTAGTGCAGGTTCTGGGGTTTAAGGAGAGACCGTTCAGATCAGAGAGGCGTTTTAGGTTTAAAGTCCGCGTACTAGTCGTTCTTTTGAATTTCAAATAAGAACGAAAAACAATAAAATGGGAAAACAGTTTGTTATTTCAATTTCTGTTTTAGTGTCAGTCAAAAAAACTTAATTGTGCCTATTTCATTTCTGATATTTTATTCTCTCTGGTTTATTTGCCCTGGAAGTTCTGCTGTGAGAAGGAGTTTTGTGGACAAACATGTCGTTGTTGTTGAACTCCATGATGAGAAACAGGATGCAGCGAGGTGATAAACTCTCCTTTGTTTAGGTGACACTGAACAACAACAAAACTTCAGGGGCAAATAAACTAGAGGGAATAAAATGTCAAAATTAAAATCCATGTGTCATTCGTTCATTTGTTTTTCAATATAAAACCAAAAATAAGAAAACAAAAAAAACAACGATTTTCTTCATTATTTGTCTCCAAAACCAAAATGAAAAAAACAAACAGATAATGATTTGGTTTTTCAGTTTTCGATTTTGTGTTTAAATGAAAAATGGAAAAAACGGATAAGGACCGTTTCCCGTTTAGGTGACTTAAACTGTGATGCCGGACTGAACCAGGACTGAACCAGGACTGAACCAGGACTGAACCAGGACTGAACCAGGACCGAACCAGGACTGAACAGTTTTCAGCCCTGGTCTGATCCCAGTCTCAGTCCCGGTCTCAGTCCTGGTCTCGGTCCCGGTCTTATTCCCAGTCTCAATCATGGTGTGGTCCTGGTCTCAGTCCCAGTCTCAGTCCTGGTCTCAGTTTTGATCTAGTCCCGGTCTCAGTCCCGGTCTGGTCCTGGACCTGGTTTAGTTCTGGTTTAGTCTGAAACAGGAAACGGTCGTTATTCTTTTTTTTTTTTTTTTCCCATTTTTCATTTAAACACAAAATCGAAAACTGAAAAAACGAATCATTATCTGTTTGTTTTTTTCATTTTGGTTTTGGAGACAAATAATGAAGAAAATAGTTGTTTTTTTGCATTCTTATTTTTTATTTTATGTTGAAAAACGAATGAACGAATGATACACCGAGACTCTTTTTTGACTAATAAACTTTAAATTAAATATTGGAAATAGAGGTCGAAATCAGTTTTTTTGTTTGACAACTAAAAATGGAAAAAGGAAAAAGGAAATAACAAACTGTTTTCCCATTTTATTGTTTTTCGTTCTTAATTGAACCACTGGACTTTAAACCAACTGGATTTCAGCAATTAAAAATATATCAACAATAATTACAACTGTTATGTGTTAAAGCTACATCTGATTTGAACACGTTTACGTCTAATCTGGAGACAGAGATGTTTATGAAAATCAAAATCTTACATAGAGTCTCTTTAAGTTATATTTTAGTCTCTCAAAGTGTTCCCGCTCTTAAATGAACAGTGTTTTTGTGACTCCTCTCTGTTCTGGCTCCGCTCTGTCCTTGGTGCGGGGAATAGAACATTCCCATGGGAATCTGAGGACACACCGACGAATCCGCCAAAACACGATCAAACACTTCCCTCTTGATTTGTCTTTCACCTCAGAGTGGGTTTGAAACAGCTGAAGTCTCCGACCCACTGACAGTGTTCTAGCGCCGAGCAGTGTTTTGAAGCAGTATTATTCCCCCAAACAAAACATCACTAAATATTTTTTAAGAAATAGTTTGGTGACGATGTACGAATGCACCTGTCCTTAAAAAGATCACATTTCCAGTGTTAAACAGTGTTAAAGGAAGTCATGACAATCAGTAAAAAGGGATAAAGCCTGTATCATTTTCAGACAAACTACAGAACTAACAGACAGTTATATGTGGTTAAATAGTGAAGTGCCAATACATGCATCACCAATTTCGGACGTCTGGTCATTGTGCAATCCATACTGGGAAGAATCCTCTGAAAAAGTGAGCATCAAACCTCGAAGTCTTTTAAACCATATCACTTTTGTTTCTGGTTCTGATATTGTCGTATTTTAGTTTTGGGATTCGGACATCGTAATTGTGCGGTTGTTGGATCCCAACAGCGGAAAACGGCTCGAGAAACGGGCTTCGGAAGTTTGCGAAGTCCATAGCTGCAAAAGTGAATCAGATGTGTGTGACTCAAACCTCCGTTCAAACTGTTTCTCTTCCCAACGGAATTGAAAAATAGTGAAAGGTGAAGGTGATGGGCAGGATTGATCCACAGGAAGAACCAAAAAGGAAACATTTGTCTGACTAAGAAATCATCCCGAGTTTACAGAGAACATTTTGTATGTGGAGCGACGACAAAACAAAATCCCGATCCCTCGTTCAACCTCGGTTACAAATTCGCCAAAGTGAAAGGCACCAACTGTTCACCAAGAAACACCTTCCAAGACCAAGACGTGATGTTTCTGTAAAACCACAAGAACAAGAAAGTGCAGCTCAGTCTGTTTGTCTTCTGCTCCATTAACAAACGGGATTTTGTTTTGTCGTCGCTCCACATACAAAATGTTCTCTGTAAACTCAGGATGATTTCTTAGTCAGACAAATGTTTCCTTTTTGGTTCTTCCTGTGGATCAATCCTGCCCATCACCTTCACCTTTCACTATTTTTCAATTCCGTTGGGAAGAGAAACAGTTTGAACAGAGGTTTGAGTCACACACATCTGATTCACTTTTGCATTTATGGAGTTCGCAAACAAATTTTTCAAGTTGTTTTCTGCTGTTAGGATCCAACAACCACACAATTACGATTTTCGTATCCCAAAACTAAAATATGACAATATCAGAACCAGAAACAAAAGTGATATGGTTTAAAAGACTTGAAAAGATCGACTTTGACAATAGACACATCCCACTGGGAAAACAAAGGTTTGAAGGTTTGAAGGTTTGAAGCTCACTTTTTCGGAAAATCCTTCCCAGTATGAATTGCACGATGACCGGAAGTCGGAAATTCGTGATATATGTATATTCTTCACACGCTGCTTAATAATCAGAACAAAAGTACACAATTCTGAGTATTTTGTATATTTTTGTATTGTTTTGTCAGAGGTCAGTAGAGTAGCCATAAAATGTACTCAAGTAAGAGTAATGTCACTTCAAAATATTACTCGAACAGAAGTACAAAGTAGTAGTGGTCCAAGAAATTATTCAAGTAATAGTAAAGTATTTGGGAGAACTACAACTCCAAAAAGAGTAACTTAAAGAGTAACTGTTGATATGTAAGATCTAGTTTATAATTTGAAGGGCAAAACAATAAATAATTCACTCTATCTGGTATTTTCAAAGGTTAGACACAAATATGAGACAAACTAAATCATGTCAAATGCCAACTTTTTGCTTTTGTCACTTGTATAAATACCATGTTTTCAGGAGTATAAGTCGCACCAGCCAAAAAATGCGTAATGAAGAAGAAAAAAACATGTATAAGTCGCACTTTTTGGGGGGAAATTTATTTAATAATATCAGAGATCAGGAAGCGACATTTCATCTTGAAAAGCAAGTTGTAGTAAAAACAAGTAAAAACATGAAGTTAAAATTTAGTTGATGCGACTTTTATTCAGGTGCGCTCAATAGGCGAGTTTCAGCTGACGTCATTGTTATTAAAAGCCCGCATTGCTGCTGGGAAATATTTTGGTCGGAGGCAAGAAACACGGTAGCGTCAAACACAGTGCGTAACCTCGCGTATTTATCCCCGATGACGGTAAATTCCTGCTGCATTATCGGACGCACAAATAGAAGCACGGAAGAAGGAAAAAGTATTTTTCGTATTCTGAGTGAAAAGAACCGCTAACGGTGAATTAAACGACTTTCAAACATCCGCAGAGCAAACGTAGAAGATCCTAACAAACCGTGGACTCCAACAAGTTCAACAACACATCGAGACTCTTGGAGGTTTTCATCTTTTCTGCTGTGAATGGCCCAGGAGTTTCCACCAAGTCATTGTGGATGTCGCCCAAGTGAATATTTGTCCAGGTAGTTGGTGATTCTGACCAGAAATTTGGTTTGGTCCACCTTTTGTCGGGGTTGAAAAGGGTGATTTGGCTCCATCGATGCTTATGACCAATTTCTGGTCAAATGGTCTTGGGTCCTCTGCCGTTAGAGTGGATAAATAACCGGGATCAATACCCTTTACGTGCTTTCTCGCTCCGTCCGTCATGTTGAATTAGTGTTTCTTGCCGCCGACCAAAATAATTCCCAGCATGCAACGTGCGCTTTTGTCAACAATGAAACTCGACTAGTAGTCCGGAAATTACGGTACACAGATATAAGACCACATGGGAATATAAAAGGAAAGTATTTCAATTTACTGTTGAAAATCAATTTCTGTTGTCTAAAGAAAGAGTGTTTTTTTTTTTTTTTTTACTGTCATGATATCAGAATCGGTATTGAGTATCGATTCTATTCCTTATTATTGAAATTGAGTTTGAAATGTTGAAAAGTGAAATGTGACAACACTCATGCGATCAGCTGCATGTCCGGGAGCGCAGACATCAGAGTTACATATGAAGCCGTGAGTTGCTGCTATTGGTCTCACAGAAGACGCGAGGATGAAGGTTACTTGTTACGGTTCTTTCTTTGGGATTTCTTGGTGTTATTTTTGCATTATGTTTTCAAAGCCAGTCGTGTTTGACAGAAAATACTTTTAGCACTTCATGAAAAATGTGTGGGGTGTGACTTTTTGAATGAGCTTAAAGTGCATATGACTGCTTTTCATGTTTTGGTTTTTGTGGGATATTATCTGTGGTGAATATTGGTCACAGTTTTACATAATTTAAGTAGCAGTTTATAGGAAAAAAGTTGAGAAGTACAAAAATACAGAAAGTAAAGCACAGGCTACGTTTATATGATGACGGTCTGAACAGAAGGCGCAAAAGTGGCGTCGTGTCTTCACTTTTTATTCTACGTTTAGACAAGTGTTTTCGGGAGGAAAGCTGCGTGCATACAGTGACGCAAAAGTGTGTGAAATTCATAGTCTGTATAAAAGAAGTGGACGAAGTGAGTGTGACGTCACCCACAGAGTTACGCGTCGCTCGAATGAGGCTGGCGATGCTCACAGTTATTTTTTTGACAGACAAAATAGCGAAAAAAAATGTCAGGATCATGTGTCGCGGGTTACTACGAACATTTTAAGATCAAAATGACGAGCAGCGGCAGGTACAGAGAGACAAGCCACAAGATCCTAATGTAAATCAATTGGAGCCAGAGTCAGAAGGAGCCGGAAGAGCCACCAGGCGAACTTCCTATACATGCATCCTGAATTTTGGACTTCTGTTCATCGTGCAATTCATACTGGGAAGGATTTTCCAAAAACGTGAGCATCAAACATCCATGTTTGTTTTCCCAGTGGGATGTGTCTATTGACAAAGTCGATCTTTTCAAAGTCGATCTTTTTTGAACCATATCACTTTTGTTTCTGGTTCTGACATTGTCATATTTTAGTTTTGGGATTTGGACATTGTAATTGTGTGGTTGTTGGATCCAAACAGCGGAAAACGGCTCGAGAAATTTGTTTGCGAACTCCATAAATGCAAAAGCGAATCAGATGTGTGTGACTCAAACCTCCGTTCAAACTGTTTCTCTTCCTAACGGAATTGAAAAATAGTGAAAGGTGAAGGTGATGGGCAGGATTGATCCACAGGAAGAACCAAAAAGGAAACATTTGACAGCCTAAGAAATCATCCCGAGTTTGCAGAGAACATTTTGTATGTGGAGCGACAACAAAATGTTGACAAAAGTGATATGGTTCAAAAGACTTGAAAAGATCGACTTTGACAATAGACGCATCCCACTGGGAAAACAAACATGAAGGTTTGATGCTCACATTTTTAAAGGATTCTTCCCAGTACGGAATTGTGCGACCGGTCTGTGGTGGATTTTGATTGTGTATGCATGCCAGGCGGCTCGGTGGTGATCTATGTGACGTAAACGTGTACACGACCTGAGCACATCTGACCAGAGTTTTGCGTCTTGGGCAGTGTAAACGGAAACACTACGGTGGAGCGTATTCAACTTTTCCACTCTGGACGGTGGTTTCAGATTTTTGCGTTTTTAAGCCCCAAAAACGCCGTCACCGTCTAAACGAAAGACACTTCCGATAAAATATTTTGTCATTTTTACTCACAAGCGTTCTCGTGTAAACAGGCCCTTAGTTATAAAATTTGAAACTTATAAAGCAGAGAAAAACTTGTCAAAGTTTTAGTAAAATCTTAAATATATTGATGTTATCTATATTTTTTGTTTGTTTGTTTGTTTTTTATGAGTGGTTTTGGGGCTGTCATATGCACTTTAACTGCAGGCCCAGTCTGACCAGTTGCTTTATGAAAGTACAAGCTGAGCGCATAATACAATATTCTGTTATAGTGCACTGCTTTTCCATTTAGTCTCCAGTTACACGCATACACTTAAATAAATACATAGCCACACAACTATCTACTAGAATAGGCTGCTGATATTAGGCCTACAGTTATGGGTGTACTTTTCAGAGCGTATTATCAAGCCATACCGTTCCTTTTGTATTTGACTCTCGCACTGGTGCCATTACAAAAACATTTATGCAATTTTAAAATGTAATTGCTGTTATTATATTTTCGCTACTCCTGTGTTCCTTTGAATTCATGGTGCATGTTTGCTTTTCTGTTCATATTGTACAGTCAATGAATGTAAGATTTTCAAATAAAACTCTTTTCTAAGATCTTGTGACAGGTTTTCATCATTCCTTTATGTATTTCATAATATATCATAGTTGTAGTTATGTATGTGGCAGTTTGTGAAAAAAAAAAGTACAAAAATACAGGAAGTTCTAAAATGGAAAACGTCAATAATGAGGATTCCATCAAATGTGCATTTTCTGACACCTTAAATTAAAATAAAATAAATAAAGGTGTAATTTATTTGTATTAGTCTGATCGTGATTATTTAGATTTAAGATTTAACCTTTGTTTACGTTACGGTTGCAGTTACAGAATTATTTACTTTATGGCAAAGAAGAAATTAAATTTGTCGACTGGACAAAAGTTTATTTGGTTGAATACGTTTCTCAGCTCATCCAAGCTGCTTCTTCAGTTTTGGTTAGAATGCTAGTGGATACTTCCTGATATCTTATCTGATATTTATCTGATATATCTATCCTGATATTTACTTATTTACTTTATTTGTCTTATTTTGCCTGTTATATCTGTTGCTTTGTCCAACAAAGTAAAATAATACACTTCAAAATAAAATAAAAAAATTGAAAAATATATACTTTTTTTTATGAAAAACTTAAATATAATGATGTGTTTTATTGAAATAAGTAGTTTAACCTAAACTATTTTTTTTTATTTTACCTAAAAAAAAAAAAATAAATAAATAAAAAAAAAAACACGCCTAGATACGGTACATATGGCGCATGCGCAATTGATTAGCCGAGTAATTTATAATTTCTGTATGTTTTATTAAAACTAGTCAAAATATTTCTCTTGTTTGGAGTTTATGAGCTCACTGTCGTTCGTAAATATAATCGTCATATCAGAGTGGACATGGTGAAGATAAACTGTGTGAATCTGGACGTGTGTTTAGAGAAATTTTCGTCTCTGGAGGAGGTATGCTAACACATGTATGTACGGTTTATGCTAACGACATAAACAAACTGCAGACTGACGCCGAGGGAGCACTAGATTCATTATTTATTCATGATGAAGCATATATTTAATGTTACATTCATCAGCAAATGCATTTATCATGTGCAAATATTGATTTAATATCCATTCCATTAGAGTAAACAACAGAATGTATTAAAATGCGCCCGCGCGGTAAATGTCACGTGACTTGGCAGGTAAGTGACAGCATAAATGGAGTGAACAGATTTTCACAGATTTTATTTATTTATTTGTTTATTTATTATTATTATTTATGTATATTTTTTCGTGGTTGGTAATAATAAAATTATTAAACGAGTGTGTACTAAAATTGTTCTGCACTGACGAACATGTGAGTCAGTATAGTCACATTTTCTTTGTGTTTTGGTCATTTTAAGCAACTTTTTAGTATTTTTACCACAAATAAATGACAATTTATGCTGCTCTTTACTATTGGCAGGGATCAGATTGGTTAAAAATAGGGACACCTGGGACATTTCTTACATAAAACTGGAACGAATTAGTGGTTTTGTATAAATTTGATGGGACAGGAGACACAGGCTCAGGACTGGGACTGTCCTGGGTAAACAGGGACGTCTGGATACCCTAAGCACAAAGTTACTTCATAGCGCTTTACAAAATAAGATAGAGATTAAAAGAGATTGTGACCGGCTTGTTAAAGTCTGATCTCATCAGATCTCAGAAGCTCAGCAGAACCGGGCCTGGTCTGGACTTGGATGGGAGACACTGGGAAAATCAGGAGCCACAGGAGGCGCCAGTCACAAAAACTGTTGTTGTGTCCTTAGGCCCTTTAGGCCCCAGGGCAGCTGTGGCTACAATAGTAGTTTAGCACCAGCAGGTTTGGAGTGAATGAATAATGATCTGTAAAGTGTCTTTGTGACATGAATCTGTGTGACTGTGTTATATAAATAAAAACTTACTTAATTATTTTAAATCAATCAATAGAAACAAAATAACCTTGATAAAATTTAGTGTAAAAGAGAAGAGGAATAAATGAATGTGTTCTCTTTTCGAGGTCATGACTGTGAATAATTTGTACTGAATGTAATATTTGTCCTTGTTTTTTCCACAGACCATCTCACAGGTGCAGATTGCAAACAGCACGTTCAAGCTCGAGTTAGAAGAGTCAGGACGTGAGCTCAAACACAGTGAGAGCAAGGAGAAGGCTCTGCTGCTCGGTACACACTCTTCTTCACTATCAGATACTTACTACTACAAAAGTACAGCTGTCACTGTGTGCTCTGTTCTGCTCAAACACAATGAGAGACAATGAGAAGGATCTGCTGCTTGTTATCAGAGAATTTCCTACTTACTACGCACTTTCTACTTCCTACACACTTCTGAGCACTTTTCACTGTCACTGTCTCTGTTCTGCTCAAACACAGTCAGAGCGAGGAGAACGTTCTGCTGCAGGGTCCATATCATCACAGACTTACTACTACACACTGACAACACACTTACTATTTCATCATCTACTTATTACACACTTACTAATTCACTTTTGACGTTCAGCTCTGCTCTGCCCATGGGCCAGGCCACTCAGATTGTGTTGCAGTACAATGGCGCCATCTGCTGGAGGCTGATAAAAGTTCTGCCAGTCTGAGCGCTTAAGTCCAGAGAGTCTGTGCCCCCGTAGAGCAGGTCCTAGTCCAGGGTTTACAAGCCTTTTAAGACCCAAGAGCTACTTCAAGAGCATTAAGTTGTTCAAGGTTGACCAGTTCAGAAATCTGTTCAAAAGAGTCAAAGTTACACAGTTAAATTGTAGAGCATTAACCACTATCACTGTATGGTAAATGAGAAATCCAATTTGTCAACTGGACAAATGTTAATTTAGGTCAAAACTGTTTCGCTGCTTCTTCAGCTCTGTCAAAACTGATTCAGGCCCATAATTTCACACCTCTGGCCCTGACCTGGCCCGGAGGACTAGAGGTGTGAAATTATGGGCCTGGATAATTATTCTAATATGTCTCCTCACTCAGTACAGATGAATAGGCCTAATTAAATATGGAGTATGAAAACTGCTCATGAAAAGTGAAATGTAAATGAAAGTGAGTAAATATAAACAGCAGAGGCTTATGTGTGTTTCAGAGCGAGACTGCCTCATGGGAACAGTGAAGGAACTGCAGCAGAGTCTGGAGGCACAGTGCCACATCCGAGGTGAGCTCAGTCTGTGTTTATGCCACTCACACAAACTAAAAACTAAAGCAGGAGAGCCCTTTTCTAAAAGTTATGAGTTACATTCAATAAACAGCACAATGGCAGATTGTGCTTGTGTCATTATGTTATTATTTGCATATTTTAAATTGCAATATTGATCTAAAACAACTTAAGAAAAGAAACAAGTCCGCTGACTTACACGTTAGAAAACTGCAGTGCCCATATTATTTGCATAATATGTCATGTTAATAGTAGTTTGTTACTAAGTCAAACACACAGTGTGCTACAGACATGTGAAAGAAAAGAAAAGAAAGAAAATGTTCCCATCTTTTGCAAATAGATTGTGGCCCAACATGGGCCAACAGCGTGCAGCGCTTTTTTGTCCTGATGCAGTTTTTTAACATGAAAATCAGGAGACTTTCTTTTAATAAAGGTCCCACATTGTCACTCAGTTTGTGTTGACGAAGCTACATTAAAACATCAGAACATAGCATCATATGGACCTTTAATACTGAGATTTAAAATGCCCATATGATAACGTACAGCTGTCACAGATTATAACAAAAGCACAACATGTCTTCTTTAAAATACTGTTAAATTGCACAGTGTTGGTATGATCATGACCTCTGTGTTGCAGTGGAGAATGAGAGACTGCAGAATGAACTGGAGGAGATGAAGAAGGAGGACGCCAAAAAAGCTCAGGTCTTTTCTATCATAAGTTAGTATAGGATATTTTTGCATTACCGTATTTTTAGAACTAAAAGACGCACTAGCCAAAAAATGCGTAATGAAGAAGAAAAAAACATATAAGTCGCACTTTTTGGGGGAAATTTATGTTTTAAAATCAGAGACCAGGAATTGACATTTCCTGTGTAAAGTCAAGTTGTAGTAAAACAATAGAAGGGAGAACAACAGACTGTTAACATCACATATTTCACAGTTCTTCAGATAAACTATAACATAAACAACAGAACAGAACAAGTTTACCAAACTCTCCATCTCACTCCAAATCACTAAATCCATTCAGTTCTTCATCCTCGACCTCCGGAGGTAAACAGAGCGCCACTTCCTCTTCTGTGTCGCTGTCGTCAGACTCAGCATCAGTTCCAGTTATTCGGGTCTTTCTGAATCCCAACAGGATGGTTTCGGTGTCACTGAGGTCCAGGCTTTGTCCATCCATCCAGTGACTTCAGGAAAGTTTCATGGTGCATCCTCCCGGTTCCCGTGAAGCTGTGTTCTCCATCTCCGCTTTTCTCCAGTCCCTCACAAGTTTCTCTCTCACTCCAAACTTTCTTTCTGCTGCTCGATTTTCATTTCCAGCTGAATATTTCACGACTTGCAGCAGGACAGAGGCTCTTTCTGCAGGAGACATGCGCAGTAGAGCCAAGTGACAGTGGTACAGGAGGAACAGGAGCAGCAGATACTGACACACAAGACTAGAACCTCTCCACACTTCACTGTCAACATTTTAATATATAAGTCACACCGGAGAATAAGTCACAGGAAACACCCAAACCATGAAGAAATGTGTGACTCATAGTCCGAAAAATACTGTATTTCAAAATGTAAAGCTCTAAATCTAAACTTTGTACGCGACGTCATTGAAATGTGCTTTGTAATTTATTTTCTTTAAGCTTCAATAGAATGGACACAACATTTTTCATATGACAAATCTACGTGTTTTTGTCATTATTTCTTGGGTGGGTCAGTAAATATGTATTTGTATCATCATCATTGTGTAGATTTTTTTGTGTCAGGAGGCCGAGGCTGAGGTCCAGAGGCTTTTGGCTGAGATGAGAGCAAAAGAAGAGCACCACCAGAGGGCGCTGGAGGCTGTGAGGAGCCAGGGCAGGAGGGACGTGGCGGAGGCTCAGGCACAGGCTGCACTCAACTGTAAGTCACAACGGAGAAGACACAGGGGACAGTCCAACTACAAGTGCTGTGTACGTTAGGGCGCCCAGACGTCCCTGTTCACCCGGGACAGTCACAGTTTAAAGCCCAGAGTCCCCTGTCCCAGCAGATTTACACAAAACCACTGATTTGTCCCAGTTTTATACAAGAAATGTCCCCAGTTTCCCGATTTTGGACCAATTTGACTTAAACCAGGACAAAACTAAGATTAAACCAGGACTACATCAGGTCTAAACTACAAACTAGGGATGGGCATGATTAGTCGACTAATCGATAATTGATCATTAAGAATTTCGCCGATTATGTTCATTTTTAATCGACAAACCAAATGTACGTTTCTGCGCGTAGATATGAAGCTGCGTCTGACACAAACACTGGAGTTGCGGCCTCAGGGTCCCACGTTTGCGCTCCGGAACCGCCTTGGAGACACTGTACCCCTCAGTGAGTGTGTTTACATGAACGTCAGTGTCCCGGTTCCATCATGGTGCATGTTTACGCAGTGTCCCGGTTACTGCAACATAAAGAGCTGCACTAAACCTGCACATGTACGATCTTTGAAAACATCGCAACACACAGAACAGACTCACCATCAGCATCATCACCCCTCTGTCACAGAAAGAACACTCATATTCCACTGAGTCATGTCCTTTTGTCCGAGAGAAACTGAACCGCTTCAGTGCACACGAGCGTTTTTTTTTTTTTTCTTCGCTTAGTTTATGCAAATGAGCCATGCGGTTTTAAGTTTCGTTTCTACTTGCGCAAAGTTGCATTAAACACATTATAATCTCAAACAGGCTGATGTGGCTCTAGAGTGGTTATGGTTTATATGTCGTAAAGTTGAGTTTATTTATTCAGATTAGTAATAGTAATAATAATGTTGATACTTATTATATGTACCTTATTTTCCGGGCTATTAGATGCGCTCTTAAGCCTCTAACCGCATCAAAAAACGACCGTGTGCCACAATCCAGAGCGCCCCATACACGAATCCACTCGGGTGTCCCAGCACGACTTCAGTAAACTACAAACACACAAACACACACGGAGCAGACAGCGACCGCACAGAGAAAAACGCCCACAGACACACTCATCACTCCACACCGACGAGGAACGGAACGGAGGAACGAACCGAAAAAGCGAGCGCAATGTGCCGCTTCTCGACACGACTGAACAACTGAGTCACTGCGAACACGCCGACAATCCGTTGGTCCCAGACACACCCTCCCTACACGCCACAACTGAACAAAGCCCAGAGTCACCGTGAACGAACAAACAAACAAAACCACTCACCCATCACACTGTTGGGTTTCCTTTAAAGTCCCACGAGGTTTATTTGTGAAAAAAGTTCCAAAATAGACCATTTAATGATTTATAATCCAGAGCGACTAATAGCCCGGAAAATACGGTACTTATTATATATAAAAACGATAATGATGAATCGAAAATAGATCGTTAATTCTCCCGACGATCGATTAATAAAATTTCATCGAATGCCCATCCCTACTAGGAACTAAAACAGGAATATCACAATTGTTGACTAACGTATTCTCCGCACTATTAGGCGCTCTGGATTAAACACAGAGACGCTCGCTGCGGTTGACGTCGTCGTGTCTCCAGTGTCACATGTGGGACACTTTTGGGCCGTTTTATGTTCACACTGGAGACACACACAAGTCACATTTAACTGGAAATGTGAACGACCTCGCAAAAACATCCGATTTCACACAAAAAAATCCGAATTGAGCATTAAGCCCTGCTGTCTGAACGTAGCCTATGATGGACACACGCTCTTTTCACATTTTATTTATACCAACCATCTCAACTCAGGTGTGTCCCAGTTTAGAATTATGAAAATCTGTGAACTTGTGCTGTACTGGGGTGTCTCTCAAATCTACTACAACTCTCGGGAAATAAAGTAAAACCCAAAGTAAAACATGTAGCTGTAATGGTTGTTTTTGCCCTGACAGTGGAGGCCAAAGACGCAGAGGTGGAGAGGACTCTGCAGCAGAAGGAGCAGGAGATGGAGGAGCTGAGGAGCAGACTGAAAGAGCAGGAGAAGGAGCGCACCAGCGACCTGCTCAAACTGCAGATGGAGGTCAGAGGTCATGTGCTTTCTGCAGATTTTAACCACGTTATAACTGTTTCCATCAAGAAGTGACCAGTGCCCAGTCAGATTAACTCAGGGACATTTACATTTTTTTTTTTTTGTTTCTCAATCCAATCCACTTTATTTCTATAGCACATTTCATAAACAAACTGTTTCCAAAGTGCTGCACAAATACACTTAATAATATACATGACACATAATAATAATAACAACAATAATAAAATGATAAAATAATAATAAGATTTAATCATATTAGTCTGAAAACAATAAAACCAGTAAAATAAAATAAGTCACACAGTGTTTAAAGTGTTTTGGTTTTTTTTTTTAATAACAATTTCCAAATATCAGCATTGTCAGGATAAAATATTTAAATAAAGGACATTTACTTTTTAACCCTTACATACTATTCGGGTTCATTTTGACCCGTTTTGACATTCAGCAGTAGTAAAAATACACTAAACATCATTCTTTGATCCTGAAATTTGATGACTTTTCCTAAATGTTGCCAAAATACACAAAAATGAAAATATTTTAAAATGTTATACTTTTATATAACACTGCTTTGAATGCACTGACCAGTTTGAAATAAGCATAATGGCTGCAGAGGATAAAAATGGTTATATTATAAATTCCAACAGTTCTAGAATATTCACGTCAGTTTCAAACGCAATAAATATCATCATCATTTTGGCTTTTATGTTTTTATTTGTTTTGTAAAACAGGACATGATACTGTGTGATGGCAGATGTTTTTCTCAAAAAATGAGTGTTGTAAAACTTACACAAATATGCTCTTCCTGCTCTCTCAAACATTATATTTATATATTACAGATATTTATTCATGTGGGACAGTCTATTTATTTGGTGTAGACAGTGTTGGGAAGGTGACTTTTAAAATGTAATCCCCTACAGATTACAGATTACACACCCCAAAATGTAGTTTGTAACGTAATCCATTAAATTACTTAAAGTGAGTAATGTAATCTGATTACTTTAGATTACTTGATTTGCTGTAGAGAAGCAAAGCCGAGGAAATCTTCACATAAGATGTTTTGTCTGATAAAAGAAAATAAAAAGTCCAGACTTTACTGAACCAAATTAAAAAATATTATTGATAGAAGACGAGGAGAAACGGTCCATGCAGCAGGATTTAGTCCTGTTAAATCCTGTTTTAGACCTGGTTTGGACCTGGTTCAGACCTGGTTTAGTCCTGGTTTAGTCTTGGTTTAGACCTAGTTTAGACCTGGTTTAGACCTGGTTTAGTCTCAGTTTAGACCTGGCTTTAGACCTGGTTTAGTCCTGGTTTAGTCTCAGTTTAGACCTTGTTTTAGACCTGGTTTAGTCTTGGTTTAGACCTGGTTTAGACCTGGTTTAGACCTGGTTTAGATCCTGGTTTAGTCGTAGTTTAGTCTTGGTTTAGACCTGGTTTAGTTTCCGGCAATGAGTGGAAATACTGGAGAAAAAAAAAAAAAGAGGGGGGGATATAGCTCGAAATGTGAAAGCAGGAAAATACTGCCGTGTAATCAATTTATTTCAACAAAGTAACTGTAATCCAATTACCACTCACTGAAACAGTAACTGTAACTGAATACAGTTACTCATAATTTGTACTCTGATTACATAACTCTGGTACATGTAATCTGTTACTCCCCAACACTGGGTAGACACTTACTGTAAGGGAATTCTTGGTCTGGGTCAAATTTGACCTGGACCATACTGTGAAAGCTTAAGAAGTGAACAGTGTGTAAGGGTTAACAGTGGCAGATCATGGACCTGTGGTCAATGACTAATATTATGAAGCAATCACAATTCAGTTTTAAACAAATCATGCTACTGTTGAACAACTTCTAGTTAAGAGCCTCCACTCTGTAGTCAGCTCCGAATCAAGAGAAAATAATTGGAGAGAAAATGTTGATATCTGAATATGATTGGCTGAGACAACTGAAAAAACATGCACTGATTGAACAAACTAAACTCAACAAGAAACTTTTACTGAACTGAAAGAAACACACTGAACTAAAGAAACACTGAACTAAAGAAACTGAAAACACTGAACTAAAGAAACACACTGAACTAAAGAAACACACTGAACTAAAGAAACACACGAACTAAAAAGAAACACACTGAATCACACCTACTGAAACATTTTTTAATTAGAAGAAATAAAAAAAATTCGTTTACTTGAAAAGATTGAATTTCAATAGGGCTTACTACTGACTTTTAATAAAATCTACTTACCTACTTGAGTAATACTTTATTGTACAATGTAATTTTACTCTTACTCGAGTAAAGCTTGTGGTTACTCTTTCTACTGTGAGTTTACAAGTGACAAAAGTTTTGCGTTGACTATAAGAAATGATTTAAACATTTGTGTTTTGTGTTTGTACCACTCCTTATATAATGAGATGTTATTTTGTTTTGTGGTCTCTCCTTCATATGTATTATATCTACTACTATTATATCTAAATCGTTCAGGCTTAGGTTAGTTTAGGTCGCTTTATTTGTACCCATAGGTAAATTTGCTTTGCAGATTTGAGAGGCAGGTTCCACATTTCACATTTCATTCATCCACAAAACACACATAAAAACACAATTACAAAATAAAGTGTTACAGAGCTCCAGTGCAGAACGGTTTGTTCCATAAACAATTAGTTAAATTCATCCATCACGCTCGGCTAAAATCACAATAAATATTAAATATGTGTATAAGTGTGATAGCAGCCGGAATAAAGCTCCTTTTAAAACGATTTATTCTAGATCTTGGGACTAAAAGCCTCTGACCAGAGAGAAGCAGCTGAAACTCTGAGTTCAGTGGATGTTGTACGTCTTTTAAAACACTCTGGGACATCCACAGGCTTTTACTTGAGGTAGATTTACAAGTAATTCTGTAAGTAAGAGACATAAAACTCTCCTCTTCACCTTACTTACAGATTGTCACCTGAATACATTTTATTGATTCTATTCTTCTTCATCTTTGCTCATGTCACAAACTCAACAAGTGAGCATTTTTGCTTCAGTTCTTTCCCACTGCTGCCAGCAGAGGGCGCTCAAACACAGATACACACGTGTGCAGTGAGGGCTCCTCTCCATACATGTTGTTGCACAGATATAAAGTGTCCATGAACTCACATTAACCTGCTGTTTTCGTTTTCTTTTCTTCTAGTTTGGAACAAAGCTGGCCCGTGTTCAGAGCTCTGCCCAAATGAACCAGCAGCAGCAGCACGGGCCCAACGTCCCTCAGAACATCTTCAAGAGGGTGAGTCCAAGCTCCTGTCACCTGTGGATGTTTTAAATAACATCACATGACATCGCAACTCTCAGATAAGATTGATTTTTTTTTATTGGTAAATTCATGCACATAAAGACTGGTGACTGACAGAAGAGTTTGTTGGTTTTGCTGTTTTAGAACCATAGATATTCAGATATCACAGGGCCTTCGATTTGCCCTTTGAGTTTAATCATATAAACCTGCACTGTCCTCGCTCCTCCCTCTGCCCACCATTTAGACTGATTGTGTGAACAGTGGTGCTGCGGTCTGGATTGGTCTGGATTGGTCTCATTTGAACGTCAGCAGACTGCAGGCCTTTAATCCTGTTAGTCCTGTCCTGTTTCACCACGTCACCAGGGCACAGCCACAAAACAGTGTCTTTACAAAACTCTGAGCGGAACTGACCTGTCGACACAGTGTTTGTCTCAAATGAAAATAAGTGATTTCACCTCAAAAACCATAAAGCAGGGTTTTGTTTTTAAGAAGGTAAAGCTGCGAGATTAATCATGACTGAATCAAAATGATCATTTACATGGAAGTCGACGTGAGAATGTTTCTAGCTCAGCTTGTGTTTCGTGAGGTGGATCTGAACAGGTTTGTGTGGACTGTGTGTCTTCAGAAGCTGCAGTTCCTCCAGGAGGAGAAGAACAAGGAAGTGGCAGCTCTGCGACAGCGAATCAGAGAGCTGGAGGAAAGTCAGCTGCCCAGGCTCAAGCGCAGGAAGGTTTCCTTTAACATCTAACCAGCTTTCAGCACTTTAGCCGTTCCCCTGTATATTAAATGTCATTTTACCATTTTAGTGAATACACTTGTTGAATCTGGATGTCTGTTCTTTTTAATACTATTACCAAGATGTTTCTGTGTTTGTCTTTTTAGATTTGTTCTGCTGCAGCTGAAATATGTTTTTATCTCTGTTTCATCTAACACGCTTCATGCCTGTCACATGTTTTAGTGAAAACATTAAAATGTGTTTTATAAACCACATCAAATGCAGCTTTCCCCAGGGCTGTAAGGTTAATTGTAGTTGAACAAATTAGCAAGTGTGACTCTTGTGGAGGTGGAGGACGGTCTGACCGCTGCAGAGGGGAGGGCACATGTGCACATCCCAAACTCTACACGACTCAAAAAAGTAAAATTATGTAGCAACAAAAATGTCCACACAGCTACATTATCTCCCAACTCTTCTGTAGCGTTCACCAAGTGAACAGCTCTTCATCAGACATGGAGTATCAAAACACACCTGCATGTTTACAGCAGGACTTTACACCGTCATGTGCTTCTGTTTGGAGTCAAACTAAATATTTAGATTGGTTTCATAATGATTACATAAAAACAACTGCTATATATGATTTTTTTTTTTTACAAAAGGCTTTGCCAATTTGGCTCGGCCGAAAACCAGGACGGAACAAGACTGAAACTAGACTAGAACCTGATAATCAGTCCTGAGCAGATGAAGATGTGCTGAGCGCTGAGGGTGTGAGGGCAGGAGCCTCTGCACAGGTGAGGGGATGTTCTGACCAGCGCTGAAGGTGAGACCACAGTGTCTTGTTCTGTTTGTGCTCTAATCCAATCAGACTCAGGAGGGTCAGGTGAGCCCATTCACACAAGTCTGTCTTTAAAACTCATTCACACATGACAGAAACACAGAGCACATTTCACTGAATTGTTCTTATAGAAATGTCTGGCTGAAAAGTTCAGAGGAGAGTCCACTGGAGGAAGAACAAAAGCACTATGGTAAATTTACACACGATTCTCTCAAACTACCATTGTCTGAACTAGAGCTGATTAAATAATTGTGATTTTTATTAGAACAAGTTAAAAACTGGGTAATGCATTTCCAAACATTTTTGTGAGTTTAAAATCAGAATCGTATATAAAGAATTGGGGTTGGACATAACAACAATGTACATGTCAAGTACAATCACAGTTTCTGTTTCTTTTTCTTCTGCTACTATTTCAGTTTCAGATAAAATGTGAGTGTCAGGTTCAGACAGAGTAAAAATGAGCTGTGCATATTTCTCTAGGGTCTGTGGTCGTCCTCCTGGACACCTGCACGAGTCTGAACTGTGCTGTCTAATCTGTTTATCTGCACTGCTGCTCCAGCCACACGCCGCGCAGATTATCTCTACAAGAACATCTGAGGCTAAGAGTGTTGCATAACATTTCATCTTCAACTGGAGCACGGGGATCAACCTTTGCTCGCTTCACCTGTGCAGAAGTGTAACAAGCCTGGACAAAAGACAAGATCAAAGACACATAAAGTTTGGTTGATTTGGTGAGTACTTTGTGAGTGTTGTTTGTGGCTGATCTGTTCTGGTCTCTGGTCTGGAGCTTCTGTTGCTGTTTTGACAGGATTGGCTCAGATCTGTTTTAGTCCAGGATTAGGTCTCATGACACCAGTGTGAATGGAGAGGAGGGCGTGTTCATACATGTTCTCCTTTATGCTCGTCAGACCCTCCTGGAGCAGAGTCCTCCAGGCACCATGAAGCCTGGACCGTGTGGGACCATGGACCTTCAGCGGTGGAGATGAGGAGTCGGGGCAGGAAACATGACCCTGTACAGTGAACGAGGAGGAGGGCACTAGGTAAGATCACTTCTTTTTCAACTTCAGCTGGTTTCCAACAATAATGTTCCGACATACAGTTTTAGTCCTCTGTAGTTATTATCAACATTTGCCTTTTGCTGAGATGAGATTTGGACAAAAGTGAATGAACTGTTTGACTTTATGCAGAATGATCCTAAGTGATCTGTGACTTGCTAAAGCCACATTGTTGGTGTTTATAAAATCTGTATGAATGTATATGAAATGTAATATTTATAGTTATATAGAGTTATAATAATCATAATAATAATACATAACACTTGTATATTTTCTCGACACTCAAAGATTCAAACAGTTCAAACAGACAAACACAAATGACAAAAACATAAAAATGAAATGTAGTTATTTGTGTGTTAGTTATGAATTTGCTTTGGCCTTAACAAGACTTAAGTTCACTGAGTGTAATGAGTCCAGATATTTGATGAGAGTCGTGTTGTCCTGAGTCGGGCTGCACTGAAACAACAGAATCCTGTGTTTTGTTTTGTTCTGTGCAGAAGAACACACACTCACACTGACGGTGCACAGGCTCAGTGTGTGGGCTGCGGAGTAACTGTAAACTCACATTTTTCAGCTTTTTATCACACTGAATATTTTTCCTCGTGAACGTGAACATTTTATTCATGTTTGGGTAATTTTTAAGTAGGTCTCTGTGCTTCAATAGCTCACTCTCTGTGGTCAGAAGTCCTTCAACAGACATGAGCGGGCATTCTTACACTGATTCCATCATCATGCCACGACTGACACAGTACTGACACAGTACTGACGCAGTACTGACAGTACTGACACAGTACTGACGCAGTACTGACACAGTACTGACGCAGTACTGACGCAGTACTAACACTCAGTGAGAGCCGTTCTACATCCTCTGTCTGTGCTGTTCAGGGCTCCATCGTCGTCTGATAAGATTACAGATGCACAGAACATGAAAGAAAAAACAAACCACATCTGGATTTACAAGTAAATACTATATAGAAGAGATGCCATTACTCTGTAGGCTCTTCACTTTCACTTGGTCACTGAAACAGCTCCACATTTAAACTTTGATTACACTTCACACAACAGCTGAAGCTCTGACTGGCCTTGGGGTGGAGAAACACTGATGTATGATGTAACACAGCAGTGATCTGCTCCTGCTTTAGGATAAAGAGTTATTTTGGTCTTTTATTTGACAAACTGGTGGACTCTTCTGCGGCTCCTCGGGGCTGCACAGTGCTGTGCGCTGGACTCCAGAGGAGACGGTGGGCGAGGGGTTTGCAGAGTCTGTTGGTGGGGGGCTGCAGAGGAGGCACCTCCTGTTGTCACATCAGCATAAGAATCAAAACCAGGCCTTTTAAAAACGAGATAAACATGTAAGTGTTCTTTAAAGTGAGCGTGCTTCTGTTGTCAGAGCGGAGGAGAGATGCGGCTGAACCAGTACACGGTGCCTCACCACAGCCGCTACAGCCTGACCGACACTTCAGAGGAGGGGCCTGTGGAGGTGGAGCCTAAGCAGAAGGACACGCCCCTCCAGCGCCTCACCTCCGACTTGTGCCAGGACGAGCACATCATCAAGGAGCTGGTGATCGGACGCCGTGTGGGTTTCTACAAGGTCCGAGGAGAGATCGGCTATGGGACCTTCTCCAGGGTGAAGATGGCCTTCCACGCCCTCACCAAAGGTAAACTGCACATCCCAGGACACGGGAGACAGACGGAGAGAAGAAAAGAAGTGTAATGACTTAAAACTGCACTATGTCACTTTTCTGGGGAGGGTACAGCTTATATGGAAATGTTATAGAAACACTTGTCACAATAACACATTTTGAAGCATGATTTATTTCTAGATAAACAATTATATTGAATCTACTTCATGTCACTGACACAATAACAATAAAACAGGTTGATTTCAGTAAAGCCATTTTTAAATATAACAGAATGAAAACTTAAAAGTTACTTATCACCTCTACAGCTTTTATGGCCTCACAACTAAAATAACAAAAATCTCCCAATTATTGCAAAAAAAAAACAAATGTGCACACGATCATTTTGAATGATGAGTTGATATATTGATTATCATGACAGGCCCAGTTATAGGTCAGATCTGTGGAGAGATAAGCCCACTCACATTTCTGAGCAATAAAAACTCCTGTAATTGAATATATGGATATTCTGGCTCGTTAAAGCCTGAGTCAGATCTCAGAAGCTCAGAGGCCTGGACAGGACTTGGATGGAGACACTGGGAAAATCAGGTGCCACAGGAGGCGCCAGTGGCAAAAACTCACTGTCTCCTTAGACAAGACACTTCAGTATGTGGTGTGTGAAGGTGTTCATGATGGTTTGCTTCACTTTTGTAGAGTAGAGAGTGGAGTGAATGAATAATGCACTGTAAAGTACTTTGAAAAGTACTCAGAAAAGTTAAATAGTCCATCTTTAAATTAAAATATTGATCTTAATTTGAGTACTTTGACTGGAGTCTCTCCATGGCCCAGCGCCAAAGAACATCTCTGATATATTAGGCCCTCAGGGACTGGACTCCTGCTTTAGTCTTGATGTAGTAGTCCTGGTTTAGTCTGGATGAAGTCCTAGTTTAGTCCTTCAGTAGTCCTGGTGTAGTCCTTCAGTAGTCCTGGTTTAGTCCTTCAGTAGTCCTGGTGTAGTCCTTCAGTAGTCCTGGTTTAGTCTGGATGTAGTCCTGGTTAGTCCTTCAGTAGTCCTGGTTTAGTCCTTCAGTAGTCCTGGTTTAGTCCTTCAGTAGTCCTGGTGTAGTCAGTAGTCCTGGTTTAGTCCTTCAGTAGTCCTGGTTTAGTCCTTCAGTAGTCCTGGTTTAGTCCTTCAGTAGTCCTGGTTTAGTCCTTCAGTAGTCCTGGTGTAGTCCTTCAGTAGTCCTGGTGTAGTCCTTCAGTAGTCCTGGTGTAGGTTGTGATTAATGTTCACACGTGTTTGTTCTGCAGACAAGGTGGCCCTGAAGATCCTGGAGAAAGCTCGTCTGGACCCGTCCGCCCAGCGCCTGCTCCACAGAGAGATCAACAGCCTGGAGAGTCTGCACCACCCCAACATGGTGCGCCTGTACGAGGTCCTGGACACGCCCAGCCGCCTGTACCTGGTGCTGGAGTACGCCGGGGGAGGAGACCTGTCCAACCACATCTACAGCCAGGGCAAGCTGTGCGACCACCGCAGCAAGATCACCTTCGCTCAGATCCTGGCCGCCGTCAAGTTCATGGTTTGTGCTCGTCTACTGCACTCAAATAAACTCACAGGATTTTTAACTGAGCGCACTTTCAGATTCTACAACTCCACTGTGAACTGGAGTGGAGAAGTACGGCAAGCCAAACTGTTTCCGTATATATTTAACGCCTTTAACACCTTATTTGACGCATATTACAAGCCTATTTGAAGCATTAAATTATTATTTGACACGTTAAGTTCTTATTTGACTTATTCGACGCCTCAAATAATAGCAATTTGACTTGTCGAATTATTCTTATTTAACATGTCAAATTCTTATACATATAACAATAATTATTACACATATTACACATATGATCCTTTCACTGTTTTTCCCAGTCAATGAATTTAAAGTGCTTTCAGCAAAGAGTCCAGAACAGTCCAACACCGATGTTCCTATACACACTTTATTCTTAAAAAATAAACTTACACTGTGTAAATTGTCATCTATCAAATTTAAAACGATTGTCGTGCACCTCAACGTATTTATCTTTTCAGTCTGTTGCTCATTAAGCAACTGATTATTTAATTATCTGTATACAATTTTCAAAAGAGAACAATAGGAAAGACACAAACTCAGCCTGCTGGTGCTTGGACTGTTTTGGACTCTTTCTCTTGGTCAGTGATTGGGAAAAACAGTGGGAGGATCATTATCATTTGTAGAATCATTTGACACGTTAAATAAGAATAATTTGATGCATCAAATAACAACAATTTGGCGCATCAAATATATACATAAATGTGAACAGTTTGGCATCCCACAGAGAAGAGCTGATGACTGCTCTGACCGGTGTTTTGTTCTGACGCCTCGTACTCGTCTTGTTTTAGTACTGGGCCAAAAATCCTCCAAAACATTCTTAGTTTTTAGTAAAATGTACTTCAAAGAGCATTTCTATATCTCGTATCATCCAAGTACAAAGTAAACTGCACTGAGACCTTTGACTGAGACACAAAGGCCACTGAGACACGCGGTAGAACTGTTGTAATAAAACCCTCAGATCTCGATACAATCCACAGTAGCTCACACGACGGGACTGCACTCACGGATGGCGTATATTCTGGAGTAGGGCTGGTATCATTAAGAAGTTGCTGATACGATACATACCTCGATACACAGGCCATGATACGATACATATCTCGATACAGTGCACCTTCGATTCGATATGATATATTTCAAATTGATTCGATACGATTCAATAAAAAAATAAAGGCTAAATCATGGCTGTGATACTAAAAGTCTTTGTTAAACCACTTCTTCTTGTGCAAAGTTCATATGAAACACAAACATTTTAATCATCAAAACAGTAAAAATGTCAAATGTGTCGCATAAATGAGTTTCCTTTCACTCCACAAGCAACAAAACTGTAGCTGTAACAAAATAATTTAGTAAAACACATTTAAAAATACTCTTGGTGATATATCGATACAGCAGCCCACGATATTGATACTGTATCATCACATTAAACGATACGATATATCGATATTCCGATATTTTTGCGCACCCCTATTCTGGAGTATAAGTCGCACCAGCCAAAAAATGCTTAATGAAGAAGAAAAAACAAATATAAGTCGCACTTTTTTGAGGGAAATATATTTTATAAAATCAGAGACCAGGAACCGACATTTCATTCAGAATAATAACAGAATAATAATAGAATAATAGTCGAGTTTCATTGTTGACAAAAGCGCGCGTTGCATGCTGGGAATTATTTTGGTCGGCGGCAAGAAACACTAATTCAACATGACGGACGGAGCGAGAAAGCACGTAAAGGGTATTGATCCCGGTTATTTATCCACTCTAACGGCAGAGGACCCAAGACCATTTGACCAGAAATTGGTCATAAGCATCGATGGACGACAAATCACCCTTTTCAACCCCGACAAAAGGTGGACCAAACCAAATTTCTGGTCTGAATCTCCAACTACCTGGACAAATATTCACTTGGGCGATATCCACAATGACTTGGTGGAAACTCCTGGGCCATTCACAGCAGAAAAGATGAAAACCTCCAAGAGTCTCGATGTGTTGTTGAACTTGTTGGAGTCCACGGTTTGTTAGGATCTTCTACGTTTGCTCTGCGGATGTTTGAAAGTCGTTTAATTCACCGTTAGCGGTTCTTTTCACTCAGAATACGAAAAAGACATTTTCCTTCTTCCGTGCTTCTATTTGTGCATCCGATAATGCAGCAGGAATTTACCATTATCGGGGATAAATACGCGAGGTTACGCACTGTGTTTGACGCTACCGTGTTTCTTGCCTCCGACCAAAATATTTCCCAGCAGCAACGCGGGCTTTTAATAACAATGACGTCAGCTGAAACTCGCCTATAGAACTAGAAAAGCAGTCAGAGAGCGCAGACCTCCGCCAAGGACTACAGTCCCTCTCATATTAATTGTGTTTTCCATAAATATTTGTCTCGTATCTTTCAATTTGCAATATGAAAGAGGATCCCATTGTCCATCCCTGAGTCAAATTTCATGGGGTTTGGTCAATAATTAACCGAGATATTGAGAAACAAAATTTTTGGCCCCATTTACCACAATGTTAACTAAAATTTCAAAGTGATCCAGAATCCAGGATTTCTTCCGGATCAGCCCCAAAATGAAATCAGTTCTTCCTTTTCACATTTCCAACAAATCCTGAAAATTTCATCAAAATCGGTCCATAACTTTTTGAGTTATGTTGCTAACAGACAAACAAACAAACAAACAGACAAACAAACAGACAAACAAACAAACAAACAGACAAACGCCGGCAAAAACATAACCTCCTTGGCGGAGGTAATAAGCAGTAGAACAGAGAACAACAGTTTTATACATTTCTTGTATAAAACTGGAACAAATCAGTGGTTTTGTATAAATCTGCTGGGACAGGGGGACACAGACTCAAAGTCCCGGGGCAACAGGGACGTCTGGTGACTCAAATCTGTTTTGCACTTCTGACGTGGTCCTGTGTGTTTTGCTCATTAGCACAGTCAGGACATCGTGCACCGGGACCTGAAGGCGGAGAACGTGCTTTTCACCCTCAACGGCTGCGTCAAAGTGGCCGACCTGGGCTTCAGCACGCGCCTGCCCCACCGCTGCCACCTGCTGGACACTCTGTGCGGCTCGCCCCCGTACGCGGCGCCCGAGCTCTTCCAGGAGCAGGCGTACCAGGGCCCCCCGGTGGACGTGTGGGCCATGGGCGTGCTCCTCTTCTTCATGGTGACGGGGACCATGCCCTTCCGCGCAGAGACCATGGGGAAGCTGCGGCGCTGCATCCTGGGCGGGGCCTACGAGATCCCGGGGTGGGTGCCCGGGCCGTGTCAGAGGCTCATCAGGGGCATCCTGAAGCCCGCCCCCTCAGACCGGTACGCTCTGGACCAGATGCTGGGCTGTGATTGGCTGCTGCCCGTGGAGTTTCCTCGCCCGTTTGGGACCACGGCGGATCCAGGGGGCGTGGAGAAGAGTGGAGCAGAGGAGGACGTCAGGTACTCGCCGTGTGCTCTTCTCCATCACTCTGTTAGTAGCAGTAGCATCGTGGCCATAGCGGTTTGTCAAAGTCTGATCCTGTCAGAAGTTCAGAGGTCAGGCCTGGTTAGTACTTGGATGGGAGACATTGGGAAAATCAGGAGCCACAGGAGGCGCCATTCAGTGTGTCGTTCGTTCATTTGTTTTTCAATATAAAACCAAAAATAAGAAAATGAAAAAACAACAGTTTTCTTCATTATTTGTCTCCAAAGCCAAAATGAAAAAACAGATAATGATTTGTTTTTTCAGTTTTCGATTTCGTGTTTAAATGAAAAATGGAAAAAACGGATAACGACCGTTTCCCGTTTACGTGACTTTCGTGACTGCGATGTCCGAACTTTTGCACTGCATACGGACTGAACCAGGACTGAACCAGGACTGAACCAGGTCCGGGACCAGAGCGGAACCAGACTGGGACCAGAGCGGACCAGACTGGGACCAGAGCGGGACCAGAGCGGGACCAGAGCGGGACCAGAGCGGGACCAGAGTGGACTCCAAGCTTTGACTCTGAGCCTCCGCGGGGTCCGAGCCTCAGCTTCGAGCTCCGGCCCTGCTGCGGGCTCTGAGCCTCCGGTCTGGTCCCGGTCTGGTGCCGGTCTGGTCTCGGTCTCAGTCCTGGTCTGGTCTCGGTCTCAGTCTCGGTCTGGTTCCGGTCTGGTCCCGGACCTGGTTCAGCAGTGCAAAAGTCCGACATCACAGTCACGGAAGTCACGTAAACAGGAAACGGTCGTTATCTGTTTTTTTTCCATTTTTCATTTAAACACAAAACTAAAAACTGAAAAATCAAATCATTATCTGTTTTTTTCATTTTGGTTTTGGAGACAAATAATGAAGAAAACTGTTGTTTTTTCATTTTCTTATTTTTGGTTTTATATTGAAAAACGAATGAACGAAATGACACATGGATTGGCGCCAGTCACAAAAACTGTCATTGTGTCTTTAGGCAAGTGGTCGGAGGGGCCAATGGTGCAGATTGGCAGTCTCACTTCTGCCAGTCTGCCCCAGGGCAGCTGTGGCTACAATAGTAGTTTAATATCACTGAGTGTCGAGTGAAAGAATAATGAACTGTAAAGCGCTTAGGGTATCTTGAAAGGTGCAATATAAATGCAATGATTAATTAATTAATTAATTTTTAAAAATTATTAACAACATCACTTAATTTACTTAAAAGACTCTCTAAAATACAATACATTTATACTGTAAACATAGGAATATTACAGTATTTATAATAAAAAGTGAAAACTCTTTCTGTTAGATTTGGACACAGGAGTCACACATCACAATATAATATAATAACTAAGAGAAAAACAATATAAATGGGAATAATACACTGAATAGAAAAGCCTGTCATGACTTGGACGAGACCATTTTCTGCCATCTGGTGGTGGATCTGAGAGTTGCATTTTTGTAAAGATACACTGCAAACTTACACTTTTTTTACTCAGCTCAGCTTATATTTGATAATACTTGTACTCACTTTTTTAAAAGACAAAAATCTCAGAACAAAAGACAAGGCTCCACCGACCACTAGGAGGCGCCCAAAGCAGAATATCCAATATCCAGATCCAAACTATGTGTGACTACTGTTTTATTAGTGTATTATATATATTATATATTAATGTATTTGCATCTGATAGAATAATAAGGCATTTAATTATTTTATAAATATTTTATTCATTTAAACAATAAATAATTAAAGTGTGAATCTACTGTTTCTCTCTATAAACTGTCTCTGGCCTGTGCAAAATTAGAGTAACACATTGTTAGATGTGGGCAGAGCAGCTAAAAGTAGTACTCAAGTCAAAATATTATTAGTCAAAATAGAACTAGAAAGTTATGGTCCAAAACTCAGAGTGTAAGAGTAAAAAAGTTTGTTTTTATGAATTAGAAAAAAATCTGAAGAAAAATCAAGAAACACGAACGTTCGAATCATTTCAGATTGTCACAGAAAACTTTTGTCACTTTAGACTTACTCACAGCAGGAAGTGTGGAAGTATGAGTACTGTTACTTCAATAAAAATATCACTGAAGTAGGAGTAAAAGTATGCTGCTAGAAGAGTACAAAAGTAACTGAGTACTCCCCACCCCTGCAAGTTGGGCTTTTTATAGTTTCATTACCTTGTGTTATTTTACTTGAGAAATAATGACGTAATAGTTTAAGATGTTTACAGTGAAACCTTTTTTTGTTTGTTTCCAGAGCGTCCATGTTCGCTCTGGGCTTCACGGAGCAGCACCTGCGCAACAACCCGGTGTCGGACCCTCGGAGCCCTGTGGGGGGCGTGTACCGCATCCTGTGTCACCGCGCCGAGCTGTCCCGCGGCGCAGACTCGCTCCCCGTCGTCAGGGGCGTCGTACGGGACCCCAAACGAGAGGGGCTCCGGGCGTACAGGGGGCTCAGGCACACGTCCAAGTTCTGCTCCATCTCCTGAGCCGGAGCCATGACGCCGCCCCCTGCTGGACACACGCACAACTGCAGCCCCGTCTCAGTACACGCATCATAAATTTCAGATTCCGATCATCACAAAATTCATACTGTGAAGTATCAAAATCCTGATCCTTCGTTCAACCTCGGTTATGAATTTAAAAAGTCGACGCCAAAGTGAAAGGCTCCAACTGTTCACCAAGAAACACCTTCCACTGCAAAGACCAAGACGTGATGTTGCTGTAAAACCACAAGAACAAGAAAGTGCAGCTCAGTCTGTTTGTCTTCTGCTCTTCTCCATTAACAAACGGGATTTTGTTTTGTCGTCGCTCCACATACAAAATGTTCTCTGTAAACTCAGGATGATTTCTTAGTCAGACAAATATTTCCTTTTTGGTTCTTCCTGTGGATAAATCCTGCCCATCACCTTCACCTTTCACTATTTTTCAATTCCGTTGGGAAGAGAAACAGTTTGAACAGAGGTTTGAGTCACACACATCTGATTCACTTTTGCATTTATGAAGTTCGCAAACAAATTTCTCGAGTCGTTTTCCGCTGTTAGGATCCAACAACCACACAGTTACGATGTCCGAATCCCAAAACTAAAATATGACAATATCAGAACCAGAAACAAAAGTGATATGGTTCAAAAGACTTGAAAAGATCGACTTTGACAATAGACACATCCCACTGGGAAAACAAACATGGAGGTTTGATGCTCACTTTTTCAGAAAATCTTTCCCAGTGTGAAATTGTGCGATGACCGGAAGTCTGAAATTCGTGATTCATGTTTACGAGTTTGTGTCGGGCGGGCGATAAGAGCTCGGGATCGAATGTCAGAAACAGCCTTTATTAGAAAAATCAGCCAAGCTGGAAGTAAGTGCATTAGGGTTTTCAAAACTATTAAAAATCAGATTGTAATTAACACTAAAACTATCAAAACTAGATTCTCATTTGAACAATACTAAAAAAACTCCCATTCACAGACAGAGATGAACCTTTACTGAATGAAGAACAAGAATAAGAGCACATAGACCTGGTTTAGTCCTGGTTTAGACCTGGTTTAGACCTGGTTTAGACCTGGTTTAGACCTGGTTTTAGACCTGGTTTAGACCTGGTTTAGTCCTGGTTTAGACCTGGTTTAGTCCTGGTTTAGACCTGGTTTTAGACCTGGTTTAGTCCTGGTTTAGACCTGGTTTAGACCTGGTTTAGTCCTGGTTTAGACCTGGTTTAGACCTGTTTTAGACCTGGTTTAGACCTAGTTTAGACCTAATTTAGGCCTAGTTTAGACCTGGTTTAGACCTGGTTTAGACCTGGTTTAGACCTAGTTTAGAGCTGGTTTAGACCTGGTTTAGACCTGGTTTAGACCTGGACCACTGAGGGTTCACACAGATATGAGGCCACATGGGAACAGAAACAAAAGTACAACAATTTAACGTTGAAAATCACATTCTATCGTCTAAAGGCGCCGCACGCTACACGAGAATTTGCCCGATTTTGGCTGCGATTTCTTCTCCCGATCAGAAAATAGAGTAAAATTGTCCCTTGAACAGCGGAGAGGAGACACTGCCCCCTGCTGGTTCCACGTGCAACTACAACAACACAACAGGATCTAACTCCTCAGCACCTGTGAAGGACTTTGGACTCTAGTACTGTCTTTTTGTATGTTTTCTATGCTTTGACATGTTTTCTATGGACTGCTGACGTGTTTTGTAAAGTAGTTTTGTATTTCTTTATGTTCCTAATAGTGCCAAACACAAAATAGTGTGTTTAAATTGCTTTTTTGGGCCTTTTGTTAATCAGCTTTCCACAGCAGACTGGATTCTTACCTCATTAAACACGTTCACCTCATCTTTTGTCTTTTCTCTAACTGTATTTGTCTTTATTATTATTGGTCAGTTTAGTTTAACAATTAAGATTAAGGGTTTTTCAGTTCAAAAGCGTCTCAAGTTGCAGGTTTTTTGTAAATTTGAGGCCATTTCATCTGCAGCGCGTCACATCTTTGTCTTGTGCGCTCGACTCCTCTAAAAGGAAACACCAAAGAACAGGCTCTTTCTTTTGTCCCGCTGATCAGATCTCCGCAGTGTTCAGGGTAAACCGCAGTGTGCTCCGGCCTCCTGCTGCCGCACCGGCCCTTCTGCGGGACAATGCTCCGTGTCTGGGGCTTTGTGACGCGGGGAGCAGCTGCTGCGTGTCTCGCCTCTTTTGTTTGCTCCACACAAACTTCCACTGAGTGTCCTCCCCTCCGCAGGGCCCCACAGCAGCTGGCGAGGCACCAGATGACGCCCGGGACCCCCCCCCCGTCCAACCTGCCCCCCCTCCAACCCTGTCCAACCCTGTCCCCCCGACCCCTGCCCCCCCGTCCAACCCTGTCCCCCCCGCCCGTCCAACCCTGTCCAACCCTGTCCCCCCCGTCCCCTGTCCCCGTGCGCACCGCGGCAGATGGTCCCAACAATGGCGCCCAGTGTCCCGGCTCTATTGTCCCGGACACATTCACATGTAAATGATCAGCCCCCCTCCCGGCCCCGACCCGCCCCTCCACAAAACACACACAGCAGAAAGTTTGAGTTTCACAGAGTTTATTTTATATTTCAGTGTGATCCAGAACATTGTAGATCTTTTGGGGGTTTTACACTTGGACATGTGTCCGTGAGATTCAGACAAATTAAGTTTCTAAAGTCAAAACTTCAGAACATCAGTGTAGAAACATTTCTTCATGTGTTCTAACAATAAACTACTACACATATCTGGGCTTTTACATAATTTAGTAACATTTCCCAAGTGAAACCTTAGGAAATGATAAATTAACTTAATAACTTTCATTCTTTTTCATTTTTCTTCTTTTTTTAAAAGTATTTTCTTGTGAGCGGCGCCTGCAGTGAAACCTTCAGAGCGCGCACTCGTAGCTCGTGTCTCAGACATTTCTAAAGTGAAACCTTTAGAGCATTAGGACAGTTCTGGAAAGTGGGATCGGCTGAATGCGACGGTGGAGAGTCGCCAGCCCGGAGGACGTCTCCAAAAAGTCCCTTTTGTTGACGCCTCCTCCTCAGCACCGCTTCTTCTCCTGCTGCGCGTGCTTCAGCCCGCTGCGCCCCGGGCCGGGCGCGCTCACGTGCACACTCACGTACGCGCTCAGGCGCGCGCTCTGTGGGGCACGGAGTCGTGCGCGTCCGGGCACCGGGACGGGGCTTCTCCTTTCTCTCCAAACCTCATCCGCACAAAGAATGAGGGTCAGTGCGGCCCGCGGCGCCGCCCGGCTCACAGAAAGAACCGGGGCGTGTGGCGCGCGCGGGCACGAGGCCGCGTGCGCGGGCCCGGGCCGGGCGCCGCGCGTGCGTGGGGCCTCCTCCTCAGAGGAGTATGAGCAGACATCCTGATGATATCAGGAGCAGAGATAAACAGCCTGTAGACCAGGGGAGGGCATCAGGGCGAGGGCTCAGCGCGCGGGCAGGCTGATCTCGGGCAGCCAGTCGTTGAGGGCGCGGCTCTCCTCACAGAACACGCGCAGCTTCTCCAGAGACGGGTCGTCCCACGAGCCCTCGCACGGCCCCGTGATCAGGACGCAGTGCGCCTCCTCGTCTTTGCGCCCCACCAGCTCGTGCAGACGCTGGCGGTCGCTCACGCGCACGATGCTGATGTCGTTGTCGAAGCAGAAGGACTGGATGAGAGTGAAGTGGATCTGCAGAGCCACGTCCCACTGGAACTGCTCGTCCATGGCCAGGACGCAGAAGGACACGCTGTCCGGGTCTCTGTGGAGGACACAGGGGACACTCGGTCAATAAACTGAGCAGTGAACAAACATCTGAACAACAACAACAAACTAAACTCCTCATAGATGTTTGGTGTCATACTTACAGGTTCATGACTTTGGCGCACTCGTACACGCCCACGGTGAGGCAGTCGTTGTCTTGGGCGGTCTCCAGCACGTCCACCAGCGCCTGGCCGGTGCAGGGGGACGCGGCCTGGACCTGAACTTCTTCCAGAGTCATGATGAGGCAAAGAGATATTCCGCAAAGCGAAGAGAGAGAGCGAAGTGTTTAGAGTAAAGTCCACACGGAGCAGAGTGCCCACAGCAGCTCGTGCGCCCCTTATATACGTGCCGGCGCGCTCTCTGATTGGCTGCCGGCGCGTGTATTGGTATGCTAATGCTATTGTGTGCGCGAGGCTCGTGGCAGATTGATGGGGGTCAGTGCGCCTCACGCGACAGCAGGCGGGTTAAAAATAGCCCCATTCACAAGACTACAGCTGGAGACTTGAGCCTTTGCGCACTTTCAAACAGCGCATAAAGACGAGTCTGCACTTTTTGTGTGCTCCGCGCGGCCTCAGCTGGCCTCATCTCAATCACCAAAACACACAAGAGGCAGAACACGATATTGTCCTCAACTTTCTCCTTGTTTTTTCCTTGTTGTTTTCTCCTACTTTGCTTGATACATGCGCTCGTTTGTAATAATGTGAGAAGATGGAAAGTCCAGTTACACTCTCCATGACTCAGCAACAAATGCACAACATCAAATACACAACAACAAATGCACAACAACAAATGCACAACAACAAATGCACAACATCAAATGCAAAGGACAACTTTCGTGTGCATTTTAACCGCGTACTGGGGGCCTGTGCACATTTGGCACATTTGGCACATTTTCTTGTTCATATCGATTTGTGACACGACACTTTTATTCAAAATGGATCGGGACAAACTCTTCCACCACCTTCAGAACATTTTGCACACGTTTATGTCATGGCGCGAGCAGCAGACTATGGCCTGCATGGACATGTTATCGTCTGTAAATGCGTGCGTAAAGTTTGTTTTGCATGATCATGACGCACGGTGTTTGGAGAAAGTGCACACCTCCTCGCTGCAGAAAACTCGTTGACCCAGTGCAGCCCACCCCCGCTCAGAGAGAAAGGGCAGGTGGACCGTGCCATCTGTGGACTGGGGGGCCGTGCGTAAAGCTGTGCCATTGTGCGCGCAGGCAGCAGCAGTGGGCCTTCGTCTTTACGCACAATGCCTCCATACAAATGCAAATGAGCAGCGCGTGCCAGAGCGCCCTGCAGGACGGACGGGCGGAGGGGGGGCCCGGGTGACCACGTGGACATCAGCTGCGGATTATTTATTTACTTTGCAGAGGGTAAGCACGAGTTTGGAGTGCGCCTTTTCTTTGGGGGCGGTAAAAGCAGACAGAGAGTGAACCCGGTGCACCGCGAGTCTGGACGCGCGTGAATAAAGTTTGATTTGCAGCGTGACCGTAAAGCGCAGCGTGTGTTGGGTTCAGCTCTGAGTTTTTACGGCTCAGACCAAAACACGTCTGTGCAAAACATTTTACAGAGTCTGATGATCAGTCCCGTGTCAAATGTGCACTGAGATCAGAATACTGCAGTTAGTAGTAGTAGTAGTAGTAGTAGTAGTAGTAGTAGTAGTAGTAGTAGTAGTAGTAGTAGTAGTAGTAGTAGTAGTAGTAGTAGTAGTAGTAGTAGTAGTAGTAGCAGTAGTAGTAGTAGTAGTAGTAGTAGCAGTAGTAGTAGTAGTAGTAGTAGTAGTAGTAGTAGTAGTAGTAGTAGTAGTAGTAGTAGTAGTAGTAGTAGTAGTAGTAGTAGTAGTAGTAGCAGTAGTAGTAGTAGTAGTAGTAGTAGTAGTAGTAGCAGTAGTAGTAGTAGTAGTAGTACATGTAGTAGTAGTAGTAGTAGTAGTAGTAGTAGTAGTAGTAGTAGTAGTAGTAGTAGTAGTAGTTCAGTAGTAGTAGTAGTAGTAGTAGTAGTAGTAGTAGTTGCAGTAGTAGTAGTAGTAGTAGTAGTAGTAGTAGTAGTAGTAGTAGTAGTAGTAGTAGTAGCAGTAGTAGTAGTAGTAGTAGTAGTAGTAGTAGTAGTAGTAGTAGTAGTAGTAGTAGTAGTAGTAGTAGTAGTAGTAGTAGTAGTAGTAGTAGTAGTAGTAGTAGTAGTAGTAGTAGTAGCAGTAGTAGTAGTAGTAGTAGTAGTAGTAGTAGTAGTAGTAGTAGTAGTAGTAGTAGTAGTAGTAGTAGTAGTAGTAGTAGTAGTAGTAGTAGTAAATGTGCACACAACTGAAACACAGAAGTATTGTAGTTCAGGCGCAGAGGTGAACAGTCTGTACCAGATTTAATTGTTTCTTTTGAAAGATCGCTAGATCATCTGGAGATCACAATGGGCTATACAAGCGCAGTCCCCAGTGCGCATGCGTGCACCTGCCGGCCCTCTGTTTTGGAGGAACATGTGTTTCATGAATGAGCCGTGACCCGCGGCTCCGAGCGCGCGGGGCGGGGCTCGTGTTTGCGCCAGATGGAGAACTGCAGCTATGTGCGCGTGCGTGTGCGTGCGCGTAACCCCTTCTGTTCTGCTGACCCCGAGCCCCTGGGGTCACGAGCCCATTGTCCACGCGCCTCCACATCCAGCCTGATGCGCATTAGAATATGAACGAACCTTATCTGCGCACACACACCCCAAACACGCGCAGATCTGCGGGTGCGCATGTAAACACGCGCGCACATCACGCGCTCTGTTTGCTGCCATAACAACAGCGCCACTTTATCTCCGAGCATCTTGTACTTCTGTTTTCTTCTGTTTTCTTCTGTTTTTTTACTGTATTTGAACCAACAACACACGCGCCTCCGCCGCTTTCACTGCGCAAAGTCTCACTCCAAACGGGGGGGGCGCGTGCAAGAGGACACCGTCCCATTGTGGCGCGTGAGCACATCTGCCGGATAAAGGGAGGAGAAGAGGAGAGGAGAGGGGGAGAGAGTAAAAAGAGCGACAGGTGTTGGACTGGGGTCTGCTCCAGTGACCCCGGGCCACGAGGACACCCCGCGCGCGTGCATGTGTGTGTATGTGTGTGTAGGTGTGTGTGTGTGCGTGTGTGTGTGTGTGCGTGTGTGTGTGTCACTGACCTGCAGCTGAGTGGACACAGGAGTCTTCAGATCAGTCAGAGCTCAGATGAGCTAAAGTTTTGTCTTTGTCTCTGGGACAAATCTGTTTCACTCTGTTCAGAAAAGTGACACATGCAACAAAATAAGATTTTGTATTTGGTCTGGTGCAGTAACATTATGGATCTTGAGTCTGAAGATTTTTGGTTTGAAGTGTGAATGTTTGTGTGGGACAGTTTTGTGTGAGGACACGTCAGGACTTGGAGACATGAAGACAAACTGTGAGCCCACTGTCCACTCAAAGAGACACTTTCACATAAACACACTCAGGGTCTTGTGTCCAGTGGCTGCACAGTGTGAGCTCAGAGGACACCAGGCTCCATGTCCGTGTCCGGGTCCCGTGTCCCGTGTCCCGTGTCCCGTGTCCCGTGTCCCGTGTCCCGTGTCCCGTGTCCCGTGTCCTGTGGGGACATGTGGACATAGAGGGACACTGGGAGTTTTACGGTGTTTGGACTCTGAGGACAGACAGAAGCTCCTCAAACAAACTGTAAAACCACAGGAGCCAAGGAAACATCAGATCTGCTGCAGACGAGGTCAACACCGAACCAGGGACCAGGACCAGACCAGGACTAGAACCGACCGGTCTAAACCACAGGACCAGGACCAAACCAGGACTAGAACCGACCAGTCTAAACCACAGGACCAGGACCAAACCAGGACTAGAACCGACCGGTCTAAACCACAGGACCAGGACCAAACCAGGACTCTAATTCAGGTCTAAACCAGGACTCATCTTGTTCATGATCTGAGCTAAAACAAACCCATGTTGTCCTCACCGCCCGACAGGGACACTTCAGTCGCCCCCGGTGCTTCACACTAACAGCTCCTGTCTCTGCTCCTGTCTGCTCCTGTCTGCTCCTGTCTGCTCCTGTCTCTGCCCCTGTCTGCTCCTGTCTGCTCCTGTCTCTGCTCCTGTCTCTGCTCCTGTCTGCTCCTGTCTGCTCCTGTCTCTGCTCCTGTCTCTGCTCCTGTCTGCTCCTGTCTGCTCCTGTCTCTGCTCCTGTCTGCTCCTGTCTCTGCTCCTGTCTGCTCCTGTCTGGGGTGACCACATTGTTTAAATTCTCACCTGGGACACACCTGGGTTCAGATGTTTGGTGTAAATAAACTTGTGTAAAGACTCGTGGAACTTTGTGGATTCTGCTGAGTCATGATCTGAGGAACTTCTGACGCTGCATTTTTTATTTTTTATATATTAATACAGGTGAGTTTAAAATCATTATTTCTAAAATGCAGATTTGTTTTGTAATACAGCGAGTTTTTGGTCAATCACAGAAATTATCAGATTCAACATTTGTGCGTAAATTTTTTTTAGATATTTGGCGGCAGAAGTACAAAGTATGTTATATTTCCCTCAAGTATATTAAACCCAATTCCCTCCTGTTCAACCTGCCATATTTATTTGTAAATATTCACTACAGTCTCCAGAAGACCTGTCAAACTCAGGCCCGGGGGCCAAATTTAGCTCATGATATCATTATATTTGGCCCATGAGATCATATCAAATCTGTATTACAACATAGACTATAGAGACATTTTTTATTTAAAATGTTATTATTTTATATTCTGTTTGTTCTTGATTCAATGTTTAAGCAAAACTATTATTAAACTTTTGTTTTAATAAGAAAAGGTTTAATATTACATATCTCAAAAGAAGAGAAAACATGTAGATATTGTTGAAATTGTTCAATAAATATTTAGTTTGATCCATGACTAAGTCCCAGTTTCTAATTTTGTCCCTCTGTGAATTTGAGTTTGACTCTCCTGAACTACACTGAAATATACTGTATATTTTCTATTTTCTATATTCTCCACATTTTGTAAATATCGCACTTGCTGCTCCTGCACTTCTGATCGGCTAAACCACATTTCATTACCTTGTATTTATACGTGTGTAATAGGAATCTAACTATAATCGAAATATCATATCGTCAAAACTCTCGTGATAATATCATGGACCATCACAATATATCGAATCACAAGTTTCTTCACTTAATTTCATTGTTTTGATGCAGCAACAGCTAAAAACAGAGAGAACTACATTTCCCATGATCCTTTGCTCTGTTTCAGTCCAGTCTACTCCAGTCTGAAATAACAATAATATTAAACCTTTTTAAATCTGTGGATTATTATTTGGATTATAACGAGAGAAAAGTCGCATATTCACAGTTATGTTAGTCTCCACGAAATATCGCGATAAATATCGAACCGTGAGATTAAGCATATTGTGAAAATATCGTATCGAGAGATTTGGATATTGTTACGTCCTTAGTGTGTAATAGTAATAAAGGTGAATTTAATCTAAAACCGTCCCTTGTCCCGATCTGAGAGGACGGCATCATTACGTTCTAGAATCTAAAAACTAACAATTTTGGCAAAATAAATGACAATTTATGCTCCTCTTTACTGTTGGTGAGGATCAGATTAGTCAAAAATTGTGATAGTCCTGGTTTAGTCCTGATGTAGTCCTGGTTTAGTCCTGATGTAGTCCTGGTTTAGTCCTGATGTAGTCCTGGTTAGTTTTAGTTTAGTCCTGGTTTAGTCTGAGTTCCTGGTTTGTCTGAGTTTAGTCCTGATGTAGTCCTGTTAGTTGCTTAGTTTAGTTTAGTCCTGGTTTAGTCCTGATGTAGTCCTGGTTAGTTTTAGTTTAGTCCTGGTTTAGTCTGAGTTTAGTCCTGGTTTAGTCCTGATGTAGTCCTGGTTTAGTCTGAGTTTAGTCCTGATGTAGTCCTGGTTTAGTCTGAGTTTAGTCCTGGTTTAGTCCTGGTTTAGTCTGAGTCTGAGTGTAGTCCTGGTTTAGTCCTGAGTTTAGTCCTGGTTTAGTCTGAGTTTAGTCCTGGTTTAGTCCTGATAATAAAATGTAAACACTTCTTCTTCTTCGTCTTTTCTTTTGTGCGCAGCAGCTGTTCCCGGTCTCCACGCGCGCTCCGTATCGATCATCCGTTTCCATGGAGGCACGCACGGCACGCAGCCCTGCACGCGCCCCCCCGCACAGTGCGCTCGCGCCCCGCACATGCATATGCAAACGAGCGGCGCGTGCCACTTCTCCGAACAGCACGAGCGCAAACAGGTAATGCTAATGCAAATAAAAAAATAAATAAATAAATAAATAAATATATAAAAATAAATTAAAAATAATAATAAGTAAAAAATAATAAATAAAAATAAATACAAAATAAAAAGGTAATGCTAATGCTAATGCTAAAAGTCCTCGTTAAAATGCGCATTTTCAGTTTGGCGGCGCTTTCTCAAAACAATTTTGGACTTGTGGAGAAAAGTTTTATCCGGCCAGACTTTTAAATGATCATAAAGCGAGTCCAGGAAGTTATAATCAACTTGAATTATCTTATTAAATTCGGCAAAACTAGTGTGAGAAGATTTTCAGAATCAGAAACTGGAACATCCTCGGTTTGTGTTGGTTGGTAATAATAAAAATGTGAAACTAGTGCGGAATTAAGGAGAATTATTAACAAGTTTGTGTCTCCTTTCCAAAAATTATTCTGCACTTGGCTCATTCATGACGAACATGAGTCAGTACGGTCACATTTTCAATGTGTTTTGGTCGATTTTAAGCAACTTTTCTGTATTTTACCGAAAAAAAATGTCAGTTTATGTCTCTGTTTACTGTTGACAAGGATCAAATTGGTCAAAAATAGTGACACCTGGGCAGTGCTGGGAGTAACAGATTACATGTACCAGAGTTAAGTAATCAGAGTACAAATTATGAGTAACTGTATTCAGTTACAGTTACTGTTTCAGTGAGTGGTAATTGGATTACAGTTACTTTGTTGAAATAAATGGATTACACAGAGATATTTTCCTGTTTTCACATTTTGGGCTATTTTCTTTTTTTTTTTTTTTTCTTTGTTAATTCCACTCATTGCCAGACACTAAAACAGGACTAAACCAAGTCTAAACTAGATCTAAACCAGGTCTAAACCAGGACTAAAACCAGGTCTAAACTAGATCGAAACCAGGTCTAAACCAGGACTAAACTAGATCTAAACCAGGGCTAAAACCAGGTCCAAACCAGATCTAAACAAGGACTAAAACCAGATCTAAACAAGGACTAAACCAGGTCTAAAACAGGTCTAAAACAGGATTTAACAGGACTAAACCATGCGCGTGGACCGTGTCTCCTCCTCTTCTATCAATAATATTTTTAATCTGGTTCAGTAAAGTCTGGGCTTTTTATTTTCTTTTAGCAAACAAAACATCTTATGTTATGATTTCCTCGTCTTTGCTTCTCTACAGAAAATTGGCTGATTGCAGTATAATCACTTGCAGCACAGAGTTACAGGTTCTGAACAGTAAAAGTACAGACACGGGCAAAAGATTACTCAAGGAAAAGGAGAAGGATCACATGAAAACCTCTGCTTCAGTAAAACTATTCAAGTACCTGTTCAAAAATGTACTTTTAGAGTATTTTTTTTAACAGTACATTTTTTAAAGCATCACATGTGGTGATTTTGAAGAAGAATTTTGCAGATTTCAAGTGATTCAATAGATTTCTTAATTTTTCTAGCTGTTTTTGTGTATTTCTTTTCCTCAAAGTTGGGACAGAAACTCAAATTAAATGTGCTCAAAATAAGTCTCAGCCGTTTCAGCAGGACTCAAAACATAAAAGCTCTTTTTTACCTTCAGTCCAGATCTAAAATGTAGTGAAGTAGAAAGTACAGATGCCTGCTCTCAAATAGTGAAGTGAAAGTAAAAAGTATCCACTTTAAAATGTACTTAAGCGAGGTACAGAGACCTTAAAATTGTACTTTTACACTTCTTTACGTTCCACCACTGATTTTAACGGCCATAAACTGAACTTGAATTGACTTTGCTCTTCACTTTATAACATTCTTTTAGTTTTATATAAGCATCTTTATCTTTCCTGTATCAAGATGTAAAATAATAAAATAAAAAATGCTAAGAATACTTGTTTACATCATATATTTCTCTTTCAGGTCTAGGATTGTTACTATCACGGTCTATAATGTGGATGTATGGAGATGGAGTCGCCTGTAGAAGCTCGTCTGCCGCAGCCATCAGAGCATCTGCAGTTTCCACCACAAACATGAGAAGTGTGGAGTCTGATCTGCATCACAAAAGACTGTAACATCTACACGACCGAACACAAGACCTGCTACACCAAACACAGACCCGCCCGCACCAAAACACACAGGTCATGAGCAGCGGCTCTGCAGGGGGCGCACGTCTCAGGAAAATCTGATCAAATATTACTTATATATTACTTCTCATCCAAAACAATCGAACTATGGCAAAAAAATGAACATGTATCTGTGTGAAGGGCCTGTTCATGATCACACTTCATCTAAGTGTTTGTTCAGTGGTCAGTCTGAGTCTAGTTCCATCAGTTTTACTCTCAGTGTTATGCAAGAGTGATCAGACTCCTGGAGCTCCCTGTATCCTGCTCTGATGTACTGTGCTGTGCTGTGTTGTACTCTGGTGAGTCGTGGTGAGTTGTGGTGAGTTGTGGTGAGTCGTGGTGAGTCGTGGTGAGTCGTGGTGAGTTGTGGTGAGTTGTGGTGAGTCGTGGTGAGTCGTGGTGAGTCGTGGTGAGTCGTGGTGAGTGTGGTGAGTCGTGGTGAGTTGTGGTGAGTTGTGGTGAGTTGTGGTGAGTCGTGGTGAGTCGTGGTGAGTCGTGGTGAGTCGTGGTGAGTTGTGGTGAGTTGTGTTGAGCTCTCAGCTGCTTCATGTGTGGCTCAGCTCAACATGTTAAACATTGTTCTTCAGATGAAAGTCCAGCCTTGATCCATTCAAACATCTGTTCTCTCTGTATCCCCCTCTTGTGTGTTCTCTGTCTTCTGTGTCCTGCAGGCACGCGTCCCCAGGCTGTAGGGGCCCGTGGGGGTTGGGGGCCCTTTGTGTGAGGGCCAATAAGAGTGTGGCGTGTGCCGGACTCGGAGTATATAACCCCACACACGTCCGTGAGCAGCACAGCCCCGTGTGTGGAACTACAGGACCCTCATCACCTCCTCTGACTAAAGCTCAAGTCTGACCTCAACATGCAGTGTCCTGGGAAGGTTCTGAAGGAGGCGCTGCTGTGTGCCCAGAGCGAAGAGCGCCTCACTGTGGGAGTGTACGAGAGCGCCCAAGTCATGAACGAGTGAGTACCTCCACTTTCTGTCATCTGAAGTTAGTGTAGCTCTGCTTAATGCTCAGAGTGATCTGACCGAGTGTCCCCTGTGTCCTCCACAGAGACCCGGACAGCGTGTCCTTCTGCGTCCTGGCCATGGACGAGCAGTTCCAGTGGGACGTGGCTCTGCAGATCCACTTCACTCTCATCCAGTCCTTCTGCTTCGACAACGACATCAGCATCGTGCGCGTGAGCGACCGCCAGCGTCTGCACGAGCTGGTGGGGCGCAAAGACGAGGAGGCGCACTGCGTCCTGATCACGGGGCCGTGCGAGGGCTCGTGGGACGACCCGTCTCTGGAGAAGCTGCGCGTGTTCTGTGAGGAGAGCCGCGCCCTCAACGACTGGCTGCCCGAGATCAGCCTGCCCGCGCGCTGAGCCCTCGCCCTGATGCCCTCCCCTGGTCTACAGGCTGTTTATCTCTGCTCCTGATATCATCAGGATGTCTGCTCATACTCCTCTGAGGAGGAGGCCCCGCGCACGCGGCCTCGTGCCCGCGCGCGCCACACGCCCCGGTTCTTTCTGTGAGCCGGGCGGCGCCGCGGGCCGCACTGACCCTCATTCTTTGTGCGGATGAGGTTTGGAGAGAAAGGAGAAGCCCCGTCCCGGTGCCCGGACGCGCACGACTCCGTGCCCCGCAGAGCGCGCGCCTGAGCGCGTACGTGAGTGTGCACGTGAGCGCGCCCGGCCCGGGGCGCAGCGGGCTGAAGCACGCGCAGCAGGAGAAGAAGCGGTGCTGAGGAGGAGGCGTCAACAAAAGGGACTTTTTGGAGACGTCCTCCGGGCTGGCGACTCTCCACCGTCGCATTCAGCCGATCCCACTTTCCAGAACTGTCCTAATGCTCTAAAGGTTTCACTTTAGAAATGTCTGAGACACGAGCTACGAGTGCGCGCTCTGAAGGTTTCACTGCAGGCGCCGCTCACAAGAAAATACTTTTTAAAAAAAAGAAAAAAAGAAGAAGAAAAAGAATTGTTATAACCTTAATTTATCATCTTCTAAGGTTTCACTTGGGAAATGTTACTAAAAGTTAAAATGATTAAAGAAAAGTTGTTCTGGAACAGTTTGTGACACTGGAGATGTGATGGAGAAATGTTCAGAAACGTCCCATTTGGAGACTTGGATGTGACTGAACAGAACATGTGTTGTTCTTCATGATTCACTCTCTAATAAAACATGAACCTAAAGCCTCACTCCTGTGTTTACTCTGACACACACATACACACACACTCTACACACACTAAAACACACAAACACACACAAACACACACACAAACACACCACACAACCTCTACCTCTAAAGATGTTCTAAAACCATTCTAAGTTGTGGACACATTTACAGCCTATTTTTCCTGGTTCAGTCCTGGTCCAGTCCTGGTCCAGTCCTGGTCCAGTCCTGGTCCAGTCCTGGTCCAGTCCTGGTCCAGTCCTGGTCCAGTCCTGATCATGTGGTCTGTTCCGGTTTTGAACTCTTGATTATGAATAAATCAACAACTTTGACAAACTGAAGGAGGAGGAGGAGAGTAACATGTGGTGAAGAGTAGTGACTGTGGCTCGTCACTGAAAGATGGGATGCAGGGTCATGGGAGGGCATCTGACACATGGACACAGGGTCAAGGGAGGGCATCTGACACATGGACACGGGGGACTGGGAGGGCATCTGACACATGGACACAGGGGACTGGGAGGGCATCTGACACACAGGCATTGCCAATCGCACAGGGAAAACGGCTCAAAAAAACACAAAACCCGTAATGAGTGAGATGCTGTGATAGTGGTCGCCGCGGTAACCACACAGCAGCACAAAAGAGCACCTGATCCAGACACGTGAGCTCCATAGACCCCCATGCACAGAACCCCCCTCCATCTCCACGGCGACCGCAGGCTCCATCTGCCCACAGCCGAGCACCGGAGGCCGTCAGCCTCCAGACTAGAGAGTCCAGACGTCCCTGTTGTGTCCCCTGTCCCTGCAGATTTATACAAAACCACTGATATGCCCCAGTTTTATACAAGAAATGTCCAAGGTGTCCCTATTTTTAACCAGTTTGATCTCTGCCAACAGTAAAGAGAGACATAAATTGTATTTTGTATCAGTAAAATCCAGAAAATCTGCCTAAAAACTACCAAAACTCAAAAAAATGTGACTATACTGACCCACGTTCATCATGAATGAGCCGAACGCAGACACTTATTTCACAATTTTATTACCAACCACTTCAAACCAGGGATGTCCCAGTTTTTTATTTTGAAAATCTGGTCACGCTGAACATGCTAAAAGTTGGCACTGTTTTGTCTGATGCTCTGTTTTTACACAATCTGACCAGAAACAGCTGATTTATTTTGCTAAACTCTAACAGGTGATTTGTGCTCAGAAACAAGTTCCTCTCAAATAACAGGACAGTCACAGGTGAGCATATCAAAATATCCACATATCGTATCATTTAAAGTGGTGATACAGTATCGATATCGTGGGCTGCTGTATCGGTTAATTGCCAAGAATATTTTTTGATTTATTTTACAAAAATATTTTATTACAGTTACAGTTTTGCTGCTTGTTTAGAGGAAACTCATTTATGTGACACATTTGACATTTTAACTGTTTTAATGATTAAAATGTTTTTGTTTCATGTGAACTTTGCAAAAGAAGAAGTAATTTAACAAAGACTTTTAGTGTCACAGACATCATACAGATATATTATTTTTTATTGAACCATATCGAATCAATTTGAAATATTTGGTAGCGAACCGAAAGTGCACTGTATCGAGATATGTATCGTAAACTTTTATTGCACTTGGAGAAGCATTGGCCCAAACTTCTGAGCAGTAACTGAAATAAAACACGTGAAGTGATTTACAGTCCAACACATCTTTTAATTTATATAATACACCAATATTTTTACAGATTTTTCTTTACTGAAAAGCAGAGTTTGTCCTGTTGAGACGTGACGGGGTCAGTCTTTTCATCAGAAGAGCCTCTAGTCACAAAATCCATGTTCAGGTCGTGTTACAAATTGTTACAAATGAAATTGTATTTCAAGTTTTAAATATTTTAAAAAGTAAATATTAAAATTAATAAAAATATTAAACCCTTAAAATACAGCAAAAATGTTTGAGGAAATAATGATTTGGGTGGAAATGGCGTCTTAAGTGGAACAGGGAATTGTCTGATTTTCAGGCAACAACAGTAATTCGAGCTCTACAACCTTCATTTCAATTTTATTTTAAAACTTTTTCTTTTAATAAAGCATTGGTGGGTTTAAAAACCAACAAATTAAGTAATGTGGCCTTAGCTAATGCTGTTATGTATGATTATGTGTTTTCCTGTCAATATCTCTAAAAATGTTGATGTTGCAGCCATTTTTAATTGGTAAACATCCAAAAGTTTACTAATTCTTCCCTGATCCAGGGATTATTCCCTGTTGCTTTCATCAAATAAACATTCAATTGTTCAAGAGAAATGTTGCTGACAAACCAATAGAAGAGGGAATGATTTTCTAGTGGGCTTTCTGACTAGTGGGCCTTCTGACTAGTGGGCTTTCTGACGATAAGGGTGTAACCGACGTGACATATGACGCCAATGTCTGTCTGCTAACTATGCTAATGCTAATGTGGCTGTGTCACTCCGGGTCAACACGCCCTGCTAATGCTAATGCTAATGCTAATGCTAATCTGCTAGGCAGGGATTAGCCCGAGGAAACAAAACAAGAGGAAAAGAAGAAGAGGAAAGAGTGAGAGGACAGACGGGAGAGAGGAGAGAAAGGGTTCCTACGGTCATGAAAATACTGGTAAAGTCATGGAAATTCTTGCATCACGAATTTCGGACTTCCGGTCAACGCGCAATTCATACTGGGAAGGATTTTCCGAAAAAATGAGCATCAAACCTCCATGTTTGTTTTCCCAGTGGGATGTGTCTATTGTCAAAGTCGATCTTTTCAAGTCTTTTGAACCATTTCGCTTTTGTTTCTGGTTCTGATATTGTCATATTTTAGTTTTGGGATTCGGACATCGTCATTGTGTGGTTGTTGGATCCTAACATCACCTTCACCTTTCACTATTTTTCAATTCCGTTGGGAAGAGAAACAGTTTGAACGGGGTTTGCAGTCACAAACATCTGAGTTCGCAAACTTCCCAAGCCCATTTCTTGAGCTGTTTTCCGCTGTTAGAACATTTGGAGGTGTTTCCCACCTTGACCCTGGGGTCTCCAGCCTTTACTCTGCACACATGTTTCTGTACACTCTGCCCGCCACTTGGTTCTGTCGCTCCATGTCTGTGCACCTGCAGCATCTCTCACCTGCAGTTCTGTGCTGGACTCAGGTCTCAGGAGCCTCTGGTTGTTCTGTTGTTCTGTTGCTCAGAGCTCAGGTCTCCTATGTTCCAGGATGAGGTCTTCTGTGTGTCCTTCAGACTCTCTCAAGCCACTGGGAGGATTTCTTGATATCAGACACTTCAGTTCTGTTTCAGTGGTGTTCCTCGTGTAGTGGTTTGTCCTTCCATCATGATTCCACTCCAGCTCCTCTTCCTCTGAACTCCACAGTCTGACACATTCTCTGAGCGTCATCTGTCCCAAACTACAAAACTCAAACAAACATTTTACATAAAGTGTTACTGTTAATGACATGACTTTGGATGTAATTATTTATAAAAAATTAAAAAAAATACTTAAAAAACTACCGTGGAGGTTTTTATAAACATTTAACTCATAAAGTGTGTAAAATTAACCTGGTACAGTATTAAAATACAACTCAGAACAGAGTAGAAAAAATATCCCCAAAAGTTGGGTTAAATGAAAACCCAAACTGCTGGGTTATTATTTTACACAGGTTGAGTTATTTTGAACCCAGAATAAGAGTAAAAAAAAGTATTTGGGAACTACTGCTCAAGTAAGAGTAACTTAAAGAGGAAGTGTCTGATTTATAATTTAAAGTGAAGATAATGTGAAGAACAAAACATGAAACACGTCACAAAATCTGGTGTTTTCCAACGACAAACACAAAAATAAGACAAACCGAGTCAGATCTGAAGGAGCTGCAGGAAAAACAAAAGTTCAAATCATTTCATGTTGTCTCACAGTGGAAGAGAAGAGTACTTAAGTAAGAGTACTGTTACTTTAATAGAATATTACTCCAGTAGTAGTAAAAGTATGCTTCCAGAAAAGTACTCTAAAAAGTAGAATTAGCCAAGTAAAAGTAAAAGACAAAGTGCACGTCTCATGCACTTTGAATCCAACATGGAGGACGATTTTCATTCTGTATCAGTTTCACAAACACAATAATATAGAAAAAATATATATACACCATAATGATACACAAATACTACACAAACACTACACAAACACTACACAAACACACAAATACTACACAAATACACAAAACTACACAAA